ACCAACTAACCGAACTTTTGGTGATCCCCTTGTATATATTCGTGGGGTCATTCATATTAAGTTTTATTATAAATTTTTCAAACGAAATATAGGACCACCTAGTCATTTGGTTTCTCTGGAATTGGTTTCAACACTAAACACAATGTCAGTCTCGAAATCTTACGGAGAATTACTCTTGCAAATAGATATTGCTGTGGACCGAGTAGGCAATTATAAAGCAAAGTCCTCTCTTGACGGACAAAGATCAAACTCTACAAGTCCCTCCTCATTCTCCTTCTGCTATACGGTGCAGTGGCCTGGACGATGATAATAGGAGGTTTTAAGAAAAATTCTCTGCTGGAGAATACCACAGACGATGGTTCGCTGAACTGTACGAATTATACGATGGCATTGATATAGCTCAGCAAATCAAGAGACAGCAACTATGGTTTGGTCAAGTCGTCCAAATGGAGGAGAACACTTCAGATTTGTTTGTATACTGTTGTGGTTTTGCATCTTGATACTTGATCACAAATATGCTCAGAGGCGATTAGTAAAACTAACTTTTCTATCATTTTTTCAGTTGATCGTACCACAACTCATACCCGGAGACTTCTGAATGTTAGCAGCTGTTTTTAATAGAGAAGAAAGCCCAGTAAAACAAGACATAACTTCTACATATATATATATATATTTTAACAAGGATTTCGCTGACTGGTGATTGAATTTCAAATTCGTATTACGGGTTATGTAACTCTGTCATAGTTGTCTTGAAAATGCACTCGATCAACACATCCAATCACAGTCGTTAGTCGTTAGCCGTTAATTAGTGAATGGGGACGGCTTCCACTGAGTAGAATCATTGTGCTTGCCTGAGTGCAATTGGAGTAGAGTCAAACTTTTTACCGTTATAAAAAGATCGATGAGCTTATGAGGTGGCATGAGTTTTACTAAATCTTCATTAACTACGCCATTACCGATAACATATTCTTTAAGCAAATACAATTTCGTTAAATCCTGGCTATAAATTTAAAGTACTCAACGAATTTACGTAGTTAATATACATACATACATACAAATATGCACTTTCATATGTATTTTACCAACCTGATATGAATTTTAATGAAGTCCACTGACACTTAAAAATTAAAAAAAAATTAAAATATGATTTTTTCATCAATTTGCAGTCGTTTTTCCATTACTTCGAAGCGGAACCGGAACTGTTCTTACTTGCGCCAATTGTGACAGTTCGTATATATGTATGCATGTATGAGTATGTGCAATATTTTACATTTTACGTTGTATGGCCTTCATAACGAATATTATTGAATTTTATTCAAAATTAAAATTAAAAACGAAACCATTGATTTTTTTCTTGAAATTAAGGAGGACACCTAGTCTAAAAGCCTAAAAAAGGTGATTTTCGGGAATTTTTATTAAAAAAATACTTTATCAATTATTTCAAAATTTCAAGAATATATCCATACATGTTTCAAGAAAATAATATATATACAATTTAATTTTCGAAGAAAAAAATTAAATATTTTTTAAGTTATAGTCGATCTCCAATGGCGCGAAAAAAAAGGCCCTTCACTGCTGCAGTGATTCCTACCTTCTCCGTTGATGAAATCTAAAAAAAAAAATCTCGATAAGATAATATTGTCTGTTCAATGATTTTTTGATCAGATCAAAAATCGATAGGTCATTGTACGGAGATAATATGTATAGAACATGAAAAAAAAATCGACAGTGTTCGGATCATTTGTTTTTGAGTAATCACTGCAGCAATTTCGGAAAATGCTGTTTCGAGCAAAACGCGTTTAAAGATAAAATGATCGTTTCCACTCGTAGCTGATGAGACTCTCTAGCTGCCGAGCGGCTGCTCTTTAAATTGCCATAACTCAAAAACTATTTGAGATATCGATTTGAAATTTTAATATGTTATTTTTAAAAGTGTAATGAAAGAAGATCGATTTTTTTTGAAATTTCACACTAGGTGTGCTCCTTAATAGCTTAAAAAAAATAAAATTAAAAAAAAAAACAATGGAATCTCTAAAGTTAAGGTTTAACCCAAAAGAAAAATGTATTAAGTATTAATTTTTGTATGAAAAAATATTTTCTGAGGATCTCAAGCCATCTCCAATTTTAATAAGAGTATATACTTTTGCAGTTTCAAAAAATAATCTGGTAATATTCAAAAATATATATATATATGTATATATACAATATATAATTGGCGCTTGGTAACCGTTGAAGCAATTTTTGGGCCGAGCACCTCCGCCAATCCGTGGTCTTGCGTCTTGATGTTTTTCCAACAAATGGAGGGACCTACAGATTTTACTAATCCACCTCCGAGCGGCTGATGGTTATTTTTATGAGGAGCTTTTCATTTTCATGTCCGTAATATACACGGAGGGGTGGACATTCCCTGCCGAAGGGGCGACCGTAATTAGAAAATTTAGCTTAATTTTTTATTAAATTAACTTTCCTGAGCTTTTTGGATGTTGGTGGCATACTCGGCTACTGCCGCCAAAATATATAATTTCCATACACACAACAAACGCAACGTTTCGGTAACAAGAAAAACGACGACGATTTATATTAGGTGTAGTAAAAGGAAGTCCATTATTTTTCTAATATATGGAATTATTTATCTGTATCTCGCGTTGTATAAGTCCGATCGGGCTCCTCTAGATGGCGTTAGGAAGATAACATTTCGAACTAAAAAAGCTCTTTTGACAGTTTTGTGATTGGTTGATTCAGTTTTGTTTAAGCGCGCGTCAAAGATGGATACTAGCAGAGCGAAAATACGCTATAGTTTATTTTTTCTTCGATGTTATGCACAATTTCGGTTTCGTTCCGGTAATTTTGATGTAAAAGATGTTTCACTGAGTGGAACTCCAACTGTCGAAAATGTCGGTAAAATCATGGATATTGTCGAGTCCGACCGTTGTATAAGCACTGTTCCGATTTCACAAAAAAGTAAAAATTAAAGCTTTCAATTTCATCTAAAAATAATAGATATCTTTTTATTACCCCAATATATACGTCTCGTGGTTTACAAATCACATATATTGTAGCATCCTTCGCTGTTCTTTGTAAAGGGTATAAATAATTTTGTCGTCATTAATGTAATCGCAAAAAATTCATAACTGCATTTTTTTGACGATTTCTGGGTAATCAACGGGGAATGGGCGTTGGCGGAGTCGTTTGTTGCACGTGCAATAAATAGCCAATGACGCGAACTTCAACTGGACGGTATGTAATTTCAATGTCAATTGTAAAATCAAACAAGCATTTTGTATGTATCTACCTACATATGTTTGTATGTAGATATGCTCAAGTGAAACACATGTACCGGTATGTCTGTTTCGGTACACACATAAATATATATGCAAATATTTTTTTATACATACTCGTATGTATGTATGTACAACTCTGGTAACGCAATTAGGCAGAATTTTTAATATTCAGAGTTCATCGCCAACATTCGTCGCCAGTACTTGGCCACAGTTTGACATTTGATTGTTGCTATTAACCATTTTTTAACTTCAATGCTTTTTTCTACACTAAACACTTGGTTAAATGGAATACTTTGACATATGTACATACATTTAAGAAAAAAATGTCTGTATTTATTTTGTGTTTAGAAAATGTGCACTCATAAGTAGTTGTTTTTTGTTTTTTTTTTTTTTTTGCATTCAATATTCGAAAATGAACGTAAATCAAATTCATTTAAAATTATTTTTTCACGAAATTCGTTTTTTTTCATAAAGTTCGAACCTTGGCGCTATATGTAAAACACTACATGAGTCAAATGACCACCTCGCGAATGCTTGCATATTTCGATCCATTTGAGATAATTTTCGGCCACACTTTGATACATATTGGGCAGCATAACACCGTTTTTCTAGTAGACCCACAATAAAAAAAAAATTCAACGGTGTCAATTCGCACGACCTCAGCGGTCAATCGAATAATCGTCGTCTACTGCTTACATTTCAAGCACCTAAGCGACGTATGTATGTATGGCGTTGTGAATGGTCAGTTGTCTTCAGTTGTTGCGTAAGCTGGACTTCATATCGATGTTGCAAAAGGCGCCGTAAGAAAGTCCTGCCTCTTGAGAACGTCGAGAAATACACACAATTGGGTCTTCGGCTACACTTTCACTTACAGGAGCGTTGTTTGAGATGAAAAGAGAGCAAAATGATTATGCACAGGCCTTACAATATTCATAACCAATACAGTTTCTTCAAATTTGTTTAAAATATCACTGATTTCTTGAGTAGTTGGACGATTATGTGCAACATTTTTTCCTCGCGTTTGAATCACCATTTTCTCAGTAGTTTTTAACAATTTTGACGCGTTGTGCTGCAGTTCAACGATCAATTTTCATGAATGTCTGACATTTAACTAAAACAAAACTTATATTTGGCAGATGCCAAAATACCGTCCTCCGAAAATGTTCCTTTATTTTTCAATGAAATTTGTTTTCTATAATTTTGGTTGGGCCCGGACTCAAAGTCAAGGTCTTTCACATGGTAAAACGCACTGATAATTAATTAAAAACCATTCGAAACAACTTCAACGGGCATATCTTTCTTTAAAGCGGCAAAAATAAAACAGAAATTACAGAAAAAAATATGAAGGGCTGTTTGTATGCTTACATAACATATATTTTAAGCCCATTTCCACTGACCGGAAGCACATTTCGTCTTTACCTCCTTAGAGATAAACTAGACCCTTTCTTATCGTCATTTCAATGTTATCTAATAAATATTTGTTGATTTCTGCCAGGAAACTACGGGAACGTATGACGCAAATACATCATAATTTTCAAATTCGAAAGCACCCCTGCTACCTGTTGCGCTTCCGGTATTTATTTGACAGTGTTTTCTGAAGTTAGTTTTCTTTTCTTTTTACAAATTATAACCTTAATGTATTGATATTTCGATTAAGATAAATCTTTTCTTCCTCTCTTTCTTATTTTTCAGAAGTTAAACTCATTTTTTAAATGAATATATGAGTTATTTATGAAATTATTTCACGTTATCATTTATCATACCTGGCAACATTCAAAAGAATTTTTTGCTCCAATTACCCAAGCAACCCTGCTTATCATTGACAGCAAGTGCAACAGCGGAAAGAAAAAGATGTGCAGGAAACTTGTTTCAGTGATTTAATTTTATTATTATTAATATTATTTTAAATATTTGTCATTTAGTTTGTACATTTTGAGTTTTAATTAAAAATATGTTTTAACCAAATTTGTGTTTCCTTAAGTGTTTCAAAGTTTGCATGAATTAGTTTCGTTAGTATTGACCTCGAATGAACTGAAGTTGAGCGACCTCCCAAGAACATCAATGTAGCAGAAAGCAGCATAGAAGAATACAAATAAATCAGTCAAACTTATCAGTCAGGTTCATAGGAGCACGCATGTTACACATACATAAATATTAATGGTAAACTTTGACATCATTTTTACTACAACGCATAGGGCGAAAGTGTACAAATAAACGTTCATACGGTCTATATTAACACATTTCGTCTGATATGGGCGCAAGTGGTTTTAAGAACGAAGGTAAGTGCAGACGGTTTTCCATATAGTTGTATGTCACTGTTTACCAGTTTGCTTCTCCACCATGTTCGTAGATAACAAAGCGGCAATAGCAACAATTGTGCATCAAGTTGGAAGCGGTAATGGTACAAGTGGTAGTAGTTTAGCAAATACAACAACGGCGACCAATATGAGCATTGAAACGTGTCTAGTGTGTGGAGATCGTGCATCAGGTACTTCAATAAAGATAATATGCACATATATATATTTATATATATATATATATATAAATATGTATATATAAGTATATCATAACAAAATGTAATGTAATAAACTGTACTACAAAAATGTTATCCAATAGGTCGACATTATGGGGCAATTTCATGTGAAGGCTGTAAGGGCTTCTTCAAACGTTCCATACGCAAGCAATTGGGATATCAATGTCGAGGATCTATGAACTGTGAAGTTACAAAACATCATCGTAATCGTTGTCAATTTTGCCGTCTCCAGAAATGTTTAGCCAGCGGAATGCGAAGTGATTGTACATAATTTTCATTTATTTCGACAACACATTTTTAACCCCCAAATAGCTTCCTGCTAAAAAAAATGCCTAATAGGTTGAAAAAAGAGGTTTGGCAATGAATTCTTCATGTAAGGCTAGTGATTTTTGTTTTTATTTTTACCTCTTCTAACATTTACCGAAAAAACGTAAAAATTTCTTATCAAATTTTGATTTGTCTTAAAAACTAGCTTTAAATTGTTTTAACATCGTGATTTGTTTTGTTGTTATTATTTTATATTAAAAATTTGGTTAATTGTATTGAGAAGTGACGTGAAAGCTCCAATTCTAATTATAACATTTCCATATAGTGAAAGAGTAAACATAACTTTAGTTTCGGCTTAGAAATTCATTTAAATTAATTGAAATCGCAGATAACATAATACAATTAGAATGTATAGTAGCGCACATAAGACAATTTGGTAGTCCAGTAGATTTTTTTTAGCTTTATATGTATATTATGAGGAGAAATATGCAAAAAAAAATTTAAGAAATTTCAGTGTAATTGCAAAGTTTGCGCCTCAAAAGTTGACTAGCACACTCACCTTCATTATCATATCATTTATTTTTCTTTTAGAGACCAAAATTAAATGTTTTTCATTTATTTTCCCACCTTTATAGCAGTTCAACATGAACGAAAACCGATTGTTGATAAAAAGGAGTTTGCTGGCAGCTCTTCCTCAGGATCATCCACGTCAACAGTAACCAATGCTGCTGCAACAGCTACCGCTTTAAGTGCAAACAATACTGCCACTGGAAGCGCGAATTTGCTCTTTGGGCATAATCTGAGCGCCAGCGTCGGTTGCAACGATAAATCCGAAGCACCCTCTACTTCAAAATCTTCTTCATATATTCCATACAATTTATCTTTACCAGAGATTAGGCAAGGTAAGTTCATTTTTTCAAAATCATGTTCATGTTTATCTTGTATTAATAAACTATATTTTATTTTCTTTAGCTATTGTAAACAATACAGATATACCAGTCCCACCTTTACCCTTTCAACTTACATTTGCCGATATGAGACAGAGTAAACAGATTTTTGTTTTACATAAAGTAACAATTTTAAATTACATTTGTTTTTAGTTATAGAAAGTGCGAAAAATTTCCAACAAGACAAGCAGCAAGCGCAACCACTATATTTCTCACCGGACTTGTCAAAACCTATCGACGAAGAAGATGATGATGACGAGTCTATGGACAATAGCAGCACGACGTGTTTGCAAAACTTAACTACCAATGCAAATAATAATAATAATACACAAAACTTAAATCTGAATATAGACCCAGTGCATAGTCCTGTCACAGCAGTTGGACAAATTCATACAGCATTGGACAGACGGGTTATTGAAAAAGCGTTACAATTGCTAATACCTATACAAAACCAATTGGAGCGCTTATCCTCAGCAACTGGTAATGGCAATATGGAAGGATCACCCACAATTAAAAATGAAATGGATGATGACGATATGGGCGAAGGTTTGTACATCAAATACATTTTCCCTGCTTCAAATGAAACATAATTACGAAAATTTATTTGATACTCTTCGATTTAAATTGTATTCAGTTTATATAACCGTAACTGATTTTATCAAATTGTTTTAAACTTGCAGATAGTGGCGCAGAAGATGAATATGAAATTGCTGAAGCAATACTAGGTGTTAATAATGCCAAGGAATTCGTGATTAACGAGTGTGTCTTCGAGAATGAGGTCTTGTCTAGTGCCCAAGCAGCTTTTAATCTACAAACTCCGAACTTAATATCAGCCTATCTCAATCTGCATTATATATGCGAAACTGGTTCGCGCGTAGTTTTTCTTAGCATCTATTGGTTGCGCAAAATAGCGGTATTCGATCAACTAGATGCTCGCACACAAATTAAATTGTTGCGTGCCAGTTGGCCCGGTTTGCTTGTAATTGCGCTAGCGCAAGTGAAAAGTCTATCCATTACCACAATTATCAATACACTAGTGGCAAATGTACGGCAACTGGCTGATGTTGACAAAATCGAACCACAAAAAATAAGAAAGCTAAGCGAACACATAGCGCGCATACATTCATACATACAAGAGACATTGACGTTGGAGTTGGATGACATGGAATTCGCTTTTCTACGCCTCGCTATTTTATTTAACCCACACATGCTGCTGCGGAAGCGTGAACGTAATGTACGCGACTTTGTGCGTCGCGTTCAACTATATGTACTATCTAGTTTGCGAAAATATATTGCTAGTCAATTAAGTGACAATGAGCAGCAGGCGGAAGAACGTTTTAGTACGCTAATTATAACATTAATACCATTAGCTGCCTTAGAGTCAGATATTATTGAAGAATTATTTTTTTCAAATTTAATAGGGCAAGTCCAAATTGAAAATATGATACCGTATATTTTAACACTGAGCGCCAACAATAGCCTATAATTAATATGCATATTTTAATTATTGAAATGTGTCGGGAGGTTGGTTTCTCGTCAATGAGCAAATGAATTAATTGCAGTCGAATGATACTGCTTAAGTCGGTTAACTCTATATACCTTAATTTACAATTTAGTGCTCGAAAATTTATGATCATCTCCTCCCCCGACCCCCCGTGTAAACAATGGCTTAGTACTTAACTAATGTCTAACATACATATATTTGTGAAATAGAGCAAAGCATTTCCTGAGATTTCGCTATAAGCTTTTGATGGAATAGTCGATTTAGATAGTCAACAATTGCTGCTAGAACAACGAAATTTTAAAGCGTCAAGTCTTCACCCAAGTGCAAGCGAAGGATATATCCTTTGCTTATGTTTACTTTATACAAAAACATAATAATAAATATGCATACATACCATATATATATAGATGATATATATGTAAGTGACAATAATAACAGACTGAAAGTATGGAAAATGATTTATAAAAGTTGAAAATAGCGCTTTTTGGCTTTTATATCATGGACTTTTGCTTGCGATCAAAAAAAAAAAAAGAAAAAAAGAAAAGGCCAAAATGTGGTAGAAATTTTAAATTTCACCTCAAAATTTTAAATTAAAGAGAAAAAAACGTTAAGTGCAAATGTCAAAGATCAGATCTTTGCAATTACAATTATATGAAACTTTTTACATTATTAAGCAGCACCCAGTTAGGGTCAAGCTATGTCATAGATTTAAGTGAAGCCTACATACAATGCGCATTTTTAATTTGCAATAAAAGTTTAATTTTTTACTTAAAAAAGAAAAACCGTTTAGTTTTTGATTCTTGCATTCTCTATACTATGTACATAAATAATTACGAAGTTGACATACAAGTATAAGCGTACAAATTGTTTATTTAACCTTTTTACAACTGTGTAACAAGTTGCACACGTTTTCGCCATTCGGTTAATGTTGGCGTAAGATCTTTGGGTGTTATAGCGGGAAGGCGCTTTAATGAACTGTGTACACCAATGTCAGCAACTGATATTTCATCGCCGCCGAAGTATTGTTGTTTGCCCAAGCGCAGATTAAGCGCACGCAACATTGCGGCGCGACTCTTACTCGTATTGCAACGCAGCAGCTGATAACATATATCGAGCACGGCATCGATTTCATTGCAATTTGGTGAATTTTCATAACGATAAGCCTCTGGACCGACACGACCCAAATATCTAATAATGTTAACCTCTCCGTAAATGGGTACATACATGGTAGGAGAGCTAATCATTTCGGTGTGTTCGCCTTGAAGTAAAGAGCGTGCACATATGTATGTCAATAATGCAATTAGAATAATTATTTAGTAAATTTCTTACAGTTTTTCCATATTAAAGAAATGTTGACTTTCGGCTTTGATTGATCAACCTTCACTTGTGCTAATTTTTTCTCAAATTCGCTCGCTTCTTTACCAATATCAGGCACTGTAGAATGTTTAAAAATTTTCACATCAATTGTAAAAAGATCTTTCCACGCATTCTTCAATGCTAATAAAGCGTATGGTATAAAATTCGGATGGCCATTTATTACAATATCATGCAGAGGTTCCTAAAAAATAATGATTTTCATATAGCAATTAATAACCATGTGTACTGCTTTCATATTCACACTTGTGCACTCTACCCACCTCACGTAAGCCTCCATTCCGCAAACTCGTTTGTACTGTATGCTGCGCACCTTTTTGACACAGACCTAAAGATGCGCGTATATTGGCCATTTGCTCCTTAAGTTCCTGTAATTGCTTTAGAACCTTCTCTTGTCGAGCAGATACACCGTCGACGTCGTTTGATGACTGCAACAAGAAAAAGTTTGATTTACTTTTTTAAATAGACGTATTTTTTACAGATTCAAGTTAGTATACAGATGCTATTAGTTTATGTTCAAATGCAGTATTTGTAATATATTTTGTTACATCTATATATTCAACCTAACCTCCTGGTATTCGTGCATTGTTGAAAACTTAAGATAATGTCAACTATGCTATTAGGAAGAGCTGCGTGTGCTTAAAATAGACAAATGCACACTCGACGGTATACACATGTTAATCAATATGTATGCGCATAAGTATTTTATTTAGAAAAAAAATGCTCTTTCTTTCATGTAAACAACAATCGAACAGCTGTTTTTGCCACTATAAATGTTCTTAAATACAACAGCTTGTATAGTATTGAAATTAAAGTAGAACGGACGTTAAATATTTTTATAAGTTAAAGAAAACTAATATTAATACTGCAAAGCCACGTCCGCCTTTGATCTTTGCTTCGATTAAAGTAACTAATACCTAGAAAAACATGTGGTGCTGAATATTTTGCTCCATGCTGGTAGTTAATGAGTTAATAGTTAAAAGCCTCCAAAAAAAAGTGACAAAAATCATAAGTTCAATGAAGCAGTGAAGCCATGTTTATTTTGTAAGTGAATAATAGATGCAGCAGCGGCAGTGTGCAGCATTTGACAAAACAATAAAATAAATCTGATTTAGTATAAATAAATAAAGTACATAAATCATACATGAACTTAAGCAAACTTATTTCTTAAATCAATTTTGAAAATTAACCTTTAGCAACTTCTGGATTTGTGCACTTAAATTGTCCAAATCAAGCGCGCACACTTTTTTCGTCAGCTCACCGGATGTAACAGCGGACGTGGCGAGAAGATTAGCATGCCCATTGCATAAACCCTTCAATATGATTATCTTTTCATTTATTCGAAAAACAACATATATTTAATTTTTTATTGCCATTTTTTACACTTACATTGCTTGCGTCAGCTTTTACATCGACTGTAGCTCTCGAATTGTTGAGCACCTTCATCGGGTACATACAAGTGGGCAACTTTATATCATATTCTGGCAAAAGTGTGTTCAGCTCGTACATTTTAATGCTTTATATATAGAGTATTTAATTTCAAAATTTTCTACACACACTTGTTTACAACTACTGTATAAATTTTAATTAAAATTCTTCACTTTTCCGCAGCCGTTTTCCAATTCGATTTTTTTACACGAAATATGCAGAAATCCCATTTGACAGCTTCAGGTGTGCACAAAGCAGGGTTACCTCAGTGCTTATTTTTAAAAAAAATTTTAAATATTCAAACTGAATCACTTTCTGTTTTTTCTAAAAATCAAATTTTATTTACAAAATAACTATATTACATATTTGAATATTAAAAATTATAACTTTCTCTTCTCTTGCTACAAATACCATATAGAGAAGTTCAACGAGTCTTAATTTTTAAATTATAGTTAGTACATCTATGCAAATGATTTATAGGGAATATTGAAATGGTTCGACTCTTGGTAAATATGTAATAGGAATTGATTCGGGGGCTTATCAGTTTTCGGAAGATGGTTGCCTTTTCTACTATTATTTAATTACTTCAAAGCTTTCAGACCTGTAGAGCTCGTCCTACCCTGTGCTCTACACGCTCAATTTAGTCTTTCTAATCGTAATTAGGTTTTAGTTTTTATTTAAATACATATAGTTGGAGGAAACAAAATCACGTAATTAATCAAATGAACATCTAATTATACCTGTTGTTGAAAATAGTCTGAACTGGGCACTACTTTATTCGACCTTGAAAATAACTGAAGGATATTTTGGCCTCAAATATAATGTAGGGAATAAAACAGATTTTATTGTGTTTATAATTTTTATTTAATACAGAGTCGCATATTATTATTATTCTAAAGGCTTCCGTACACATCCTCTCTTTCCATCATTATTCCACATTATTATGTACATACGTTATTTATAAATAAAAACCGAAACAGGAACAAATGATGTTTGTAACTTTCTAAATCTTATACATGTTTATATAAATGTACATATGTATGTATTTACTTTAATGTGCACAGTTTTTTAAGATCTTAATTTTTTTATTTAGATTTTATAGCTTTTGGTGTTGTGTTTTCATTCATTCTCGCTATTCTTTTATCCACAACGTTTCTCAACTTGCGTTGGGGCTTTGTCAGCTCACTTTGATCCATTGGCTCAATTACCTGACCCTTGTGTGTTATAACAGCAGGTCGGGTGAGCATACGGAAAGCAGTTTCTGGTACACAATTCCGTCCAATTGTTGCACGTATACTGCCTTCGTAATCAGCAACAGATGTAAATGGAAAAGGCACTTCGGAAACAAGATGAGTTCGCAACTTTTTACTTGCCGATTCATTAATGTAGAGTCCTCCTTTGTTATCATCCCGACGTTTTTCTTTTTTAGCCAACTTGAGGACAAGACGTTTACTCTTGTTCGCAACTTGTCTTTCAGCAGAAATACCAGCACCCGCCCATGAACCCCAACCAGGCATAAATAAATCGATTTCGGCATTTTTGATTTCGGAGTCTTTGGCTTTATCGCGAGTAAAGTCCGCAATAATGTCATCGTCCTCGAACGCTTGGCTGATTGTCAACTGCTGATCGTGGTACGCCTTGTCATGTTCTTCATCACCACTCATTTCTATATCATCGTCGACAGCACCTATTGTTTCGTTTAATCCAATGAAGTTATTTACTTTTTGCTTAATTTTAACATCGGCCAATTTATTTGGATCTATAGTTGTAGATGGTTGAATTTCTTTTACAACGGGTTTAGCTGTTGGTTTCACTGTTTCCGCCTTTGAATTAATATTTTGGTTATCGTTCTCTAATATTTTCTCTAAATTTTTTCCGTCCTCTTTGCTAGGAGCGGTGTTTTCAGTAATTAGTTCTTCATCAATAACTGGACGCGTAGCCCCTTTTTGGAAAGATAATTCTTTTAAGTTCTTTAACTCATCTTTTTTCTTTTTAGTTTTTGATTTTTTATTTTTCAACTTTGCCTTTTGCAAAAGTTTTGCTTTTTTATTTAATTTTTTCAGCTTTTTGCTCATTCTTTCCCTAATTTTGTCTTCTTGTTTATCAAAAATATCGTCGATATTATTTTCGCTTTTACCATTGGGTAGGTTACTAGTGCCGGAAGTGGTGATGTCTTCTACTAGCCATTCACCTGTTTTACTTGTATTAAACTCAGTTTTGACATCTTCACTTTTATTATTAGTTTTATTTTCCTTTTTCTTTGTTTGAGCACTTGTATTACCCTTTTGTTTTAAATTCTTTTTCTTGGAGCTCTTTTCCTTAATAATTTTGCTTTCAACTTCAGCACTTGATTTTTCAGATTTTACCGTTTCTTCTTTAGTTTCTTTTTCCTCATCATCAGTTTGGTCACTTTTTTCTTGAGCTAGCAACTTTTTGTAATCTTCTAGAAGCTTTTCATTCTGATTTCGGTCTAGCCAGTATTTTCGCCAATTTTCCCCTTCTTCATTTGTTGTTTGGTTATCCCTTTGAACTTTTCCCACCCGTGTCCAAGGATTGAATGGATCAGAATCAGTGACATCCTTTTCCATTTCGAGTTGTGCGGACTTTTGAACAATTTCATTTTCATTTTCCTCGTCACTGTCATTTTGCTTTTTGGTTAATTGCCGACTAATTTGCAATTGTTCAGCCAAATCTTTTCTCACTTCCTTATCGTATTTCGCACGTATTTGCAAGTTCTTCGCCCATGTTCCAGTATTTTTATGACGTAAGTTAGCTCTTTCAAGCACTCGACTCTTTTCTAATTCATTTAACTTTTCCAAAGCTGCTTCGGGATTAGTTTTTTGCAAAATCTCAAACTGTTTAATTTGCTCTTGCATTTTTTGTTTCTTCAATAGTTTGTGATACTTTTTTGATTTGATTTTATTTTGCTTGCGTGCCTTTAATGATTTCTGTGACTCTCTGAGCTTTAGGTATGCTAACTCTTTGCGGCGTGCAATTTGCTCATCACGCGTTAATTTTTTCTTCAATAATTCCTCCTCCTTTTTCGCTAACTCCTCCTCATTTTCAGTTTCACCAGTCAACTCTCTTTTTACAGCTTTTAATCGTGCCTGCTCTGCTTCCAGCTCACGTGCTAAGTCAGATTTAAGCGATCGTTCCAAGGGTTTACGATACATCGACGTATCGACATAGATAGTTTCCGAACGCAGCGGAAACACCTAACATTAAAAAATTTTTGTTTATTCGAAATATCACCTTGATTGTTAAATAGTTACTACTCACCTGAGTCTCCGCATTGCGATTATGTGTTACAACTGCGTCCCAGCGATTTAAGTTTTTCTTAGTTTTGTCATAGCCAAGTCCACGCTTAATACGATCTGCCTGTGGCTTTTCCAAAGGCTTATCAAGAACTTTTTTGGAAGACTGCACAACTTTCAATTGTTTCCCAGCCTCTATGTGTCTATTAGTGGTTTGTAGCACCCTGACAATATCGTACAAGCCAACCGGATAACGTGCAACAGATTCATCCACAGGTTTGACTAGTTGAAACTCATCTTGTTGACGTATAGGCTCATTACGTGTTGTTTTCCTTATATGCTGAGCCTTGCCTAAACTGCTGATGCCTTGTAGAAGTTTTTTATGTGCTTTTGGATTGAATTGCTCCTCATCGTCACTCATTTTGATAACTTAATGATTTCTGTTCAAATTGTAATCAAAAATCAATTGAAAGAAAATAGAAACACATGCGCTCACGTATTGCCCATAAAAAATGTTATTTGACAGAACTTTGTTTTGGTTTCTTACACATGGTTGCATTACGTTATGGCTAAATTTAAAAAACAACAGGGATGCACCAATTATAGTTATCGTGGTATTCACATTCACCTATTTTTTCTGTAACTTTTTTCTGAAACTTCAACTTCAACATACTGCCATTATTATGCACTTTGTTACTTTAATGGAGAGTCGGCCTAAAAGAATTCAGGAAATACCATGATATTTCCACATCCACCTTATACATGACTTCTTCAGCCACTTGATGTTGGCGAAGGCCAGTTATAAAAGAAGTTTTTGCAAACTTTAATATGGCCAAAAAGGTTCCTCTTCTTGCTGGCCAAAAGTAGTTACTTTCGTTTAAAAATCTGGAGACACAGCCTGTAGAGCTTAGGCAATCTTCACTGTTTCAACTATAATATCATGTATACTGCACATACACATATACGTAGAACTTTTTATTCAACAACAAAACAATAATAATTTTTAAACATAAGCGGAGCATCCTCGTCTGAAATAAAGTTACGCTCCGGTTTTTGAGATGCGAAAGGATTTAAAATTGGTGGAAGAACCACATTCAATTTACGACTGGACTCCTGCATTAGTCGTGATATATCCAATGGTGCCTCGTAGGCCGTATACGATGTAACCGCAATAGGACATTTCAGATTCGTGGCAATGCGTATTGTTTCCGGCCAAGTGTCCTCCATTTGAAAACCGTTATAGCGATACAAGCCAGCATTGAAGAAACAAACTTAAAATGAATTTTAAATATACATTTATGTTCGAATTATTATATAAAAATATTATACAATATTATACTGGCTCTTACTTAAGTCGGGTTGAAGATACATCGGCAAGTTGAAGTAATCATGATATAATTGATTTTGAAAACGATAACTTACGTTGCGTTGCAACTTTCGGCAACTTCTGCAGCATCTAAAAATTTGAAAAAAAATTCGATTTTTCATTGGCTACAAAATAGTATGAGTAATCGTATTTACTTTGTTTTTGTCAATTGTGCGAATGGTACATTCCCTTGACTCAATTCCGGTCCTACGAAAATTATGTTGAGTTTCTTGGTATTTGGATTTAAATGCAAGAAAAAAAGCTCCCATTTGTGCAAAGCATCGACTTCGAACTCGATTTCCGCACCTAAGGCGAGATAAATACATTTGGGTTAGTTTAGGTTGTGGTGGCTACCGATTTAGCGAATCCATTACACTTGGACATGACAAAGGCCTATTGGTTATTAAGCTTCGCTAATCAACAATCTCGAATATCTAATAAAATTTATTAGTTTAATCACTTTAATGTCGGCTACCTTCGGTAGACCCTTCAACATTCCGAAACCTATCAGTGCAGAACAATCGCATAGAAGATAAGCGATCGTTTCCACCTCCTCAACATGCTTGTAGTTTATGCGGCACCTCCAATGGGAGGTCTCTAGTCTTTCGGTGTATAGTAATCTAAGGAACTGTCACATTACTTGGACATATCCCCTCTTTCTAAGTAGTACATTTCTCGTGATTTTTCAAATCCCATTTAGGCCAGATACAAATTTCGTTTACGAAGTGACGTGGATTGTTCATATATAAATTACTTGAGATGCAGCTTGCAGTTGGCAAAAGACATACCAATGCGTTCTTTATTGAGAACCTTGTCTAGCAAAGGAAATTTTTTTAACCCGCCATCACCAACTCTTCCCTCTTTATTTGATCCATTCTTCTATATTTTCATGCTGCCACCTGTAGTATGGTATTTATCCTTCCATTCTTCCTTGCTGGGAGATCATGTTCTGAAGAAATTTTCAGTGAATGTAACACTTTGATCTGTATAGTTTGGTTTAAAATTGTATTTATAAAATATTTTCGAGAGTTCTAATAGCTGAGTGCCCCATCGATTTGACTCTCAAAAAATAAAGTACGGCTCTTGCGGTTGACTGATATATCACCAGGTCCGGTGGCAAGGTTTTGAGTAGTTGTAGATAGTAATTGCTGGTATCTTCTCGTGACTTTGAGAATTGTCTTGTCTAGAATAACTTCTAGAAATTTGACCTTCGTCCCCAGACTGAAGTTACACACCGTGCAGTGCTGGTGAGTTCCTAAGGTATCTTATATCTCCTTGTGAATAGCACTAATGCCACTTTGTTCGAGTTGAAACAGAACCGCAACGGGTAAACCAGGACGATACCTTTCGAAGTGTTACCGGCACTAAGTCCCAAAGGGTTGTGGGAACGTGCCTCTGTTTGGTAGCCGCTGAAGCGATTTTCGGTCGAGCTCCTCCCCCACAGTTTATTCTAAGCTGCCTCTAAAAGGCCGATTGATTTTTATTATGAGCTGTTATGTCTTGACAATAATACACTCGTTGGGCTTGACATTCTCTGCCGAGTTGCGACCGTGGTTGGAGAAATTAATTTCTATAATTTTGAATTTTGGTCGAGCCAGGCCTCGAACCCTGAGAAAATGCTTAAGAAATATTGGGACTGAATTAAGAATGGCTACCTTTTAAGGATGTAGTGGCCGCTAAACAAGTGAATGCAGAGGAGGAAGAAGGTGGAACTTAACGTGAGCGCAGCATCGGCTAGTTAGTGTTTTCGGAAACTCATAAGTTTCATACTCACCAATAAGATGTATGGTAATTTCTTCAGATTTTTTCAAGTGTCCACATAATTTCAAAGCATACCAGGCAGTCAAAGGACATGTGGAGATTTGACTAAGCGCAGAGAACTCACAAGCGTCCTGAACAGCTGTTAAGGAGTGCAACAACAAATATTAAAAAAAATAAGATAGTACAAACAAAACTATCGGTCATTCAAAACCAATTACCGCAATCTAATTTGCTTAGGATCTGTTTTGTGTTGGAACAAGCGCCGGGTATGTCACGCAGTATTTTCGTGGGCATTGACGGATCGATTTGCCCACATTTCGCCTGCACTAACTCCAACCTCTTGAAGAGTTGATATGATTCACACCACTGTTGATGCGATTTACTCAAATGCTCCGGTTTATTACGGCAATATGCCACCTTTAAATAGAAATTTTCATGCAAATGTAATCATTATATGTAAGAAATATTGCCTATAAAGTACCTGTCCGCAATGCTCACAGTCCACAAGCTTCTCAAAATGGTACTCACGGCAGGTTGGAGTACAACAAATACGTGGAAACAAAATCACCTCTTGTTCGGTGGCAGTTAACGGTCGATTTATGATTGACTCTATTTGACGTATCATAACAATGCGGTAAGATCGAAATTGTTCAGCGGTGAATTCTTCGCATTTTCTAAAGATGTGACCACCTTAACGAAATGAAAATTTATAGCAATTAATCATGTGCCGTTTTAAAGGTGAAATAGTTACTATAAAATACATATACATCTGATGTTCGACATCGTGTCATGTGCAAAAACCCAAATAACGTAAGACTATGGCGGCCGCGCTAGTCTAGTGGTTAACATTGTGTACTGCCATTCGGATAATTCAGGTTCAAATCCTGGTAATTGCGGTCGCCCCTCAGCAGGGAATTTCAGCCCCTCCCTTTCTGATATGAAATAAAGCTCCTCCCAAAAGACCGTCAGCCGTTCGGAGGTGGCTTAGTATAAACTGTAGGACCTTGGACGAAAATCGCTACAGCGGTTACAAATCGCCAATTATATAAATATATATATATATATATATATAATATATATATACTCATGTGTAGCCAAGAATTAATCAGACCCCAGTTGCTAATGCGAAGAACGCCGGCGATGTCCAGAAATGCTTTGACAATGAACAAAGAAGATCAAACGCAATTTTGGCCTCGAATTTTTGGCTGAAGAAAGAATCTATCGCTGTATAATGGAGCCCTCCCCGTTTCAGGAGCTGCACAATCCCAGCAGCGCAGTGCGATTTGGGAAGGACCTCTCCGAACTGAACGAGCTTGTGTGATTTCTTCGACTTGATGCTGGTCAAAGTTATTGGAAGCCGGAGAGATAAATATAAAAGTAGCGAAGAATTGTCACAGCCTTGGAGTCCACTGCAAAGTCACTCTTGCCATTAGGTGCTATTTTGAACTGAGTAGGCAGTTGAAAAAGTAAAATCCTCCCTAAACCAACAAAGACACAACTCTGCAAGTCTCTCATCATTGCCGACCGCCGATGGCGGCATTCGAGGAGTCATTATAGGAGCCATTATAGGAGTTACCGAGACAGGAAGGTTATGCAGTAGACTTATGATCCATTGCAATATTGTCAGCGTCAAATACCGCAGACGACAAAACAATGAACTATACGAGATACGTGGCAACATGGACGTACATAGTTTAGCAAACAAAGAGACAACCACCTTACCTCTGTCATGTTGTCCAAATTAAAGAGAGTAATATAGCTTTATTCGATGCAGTGCTTGCTGATAGAAGCAGAGAAAAATGAGAAATTATTCTCTCTTTACAAAAGTTCGGTCAGTTGGTGTCTTTCAATTTGCTTTTGTTTAATTTAAAAATACCAAATTCTTTGAACTTACTTTAATAGTCTTCGGTTCAAATTTTAGAACGATCAGCTAAAATGGAGACGAGAAAACGCAAGATAGCTGAGGATACATCAGACGAAATTCCGCCACCAACACAACTACCAATTCGCCATGTACTTTCCGTTTTGGTGTAATTTACAGCCAATACAATAATATAATTGCATTTGAAATGATTGCATCGTCCTTAAAGACTATTACTAAGTGGTTCCGAAGATTCCAGACCGTACATTTTTCGGTAGAGGACGAACCCCGAGAAGGTCGACCAAAACCTTCCACTGTTGAGGTCACTGTAGCTCTGGTGAAGTCCAAAATTGACGAAGACTCACGATTGACACAAGAAAAGATTGCTAATGGATTGGGCTTGAATGTCATGTCCGTATCGCGAATATTAAGTAATCATCTGGGATGCAACCAAAATGAGCTGCCAAAGTAATGGGTAAATCGTAGCTGCTATTCCACTGGTAGAGGGTGCGACAGTAAGTGCAAAATGGTACACCGAGGAGTGCTTACCAAAAGTTTCCCAAAATTTGTTGGAAAACAGGAAGAAAGAGGATTTGTGGTGTTACTTTTTACATCATGCCAACGCGCCATCCCACACTGCTAAAACAACGCGTAATCTTATAGCGATCTCTGGAATCGAAGAAATACGCCCAGGCAAATATTCGCCGGATATAGTACCTTGTAATTTTTGGTTAGTTGCAAAAATTAAAAAAAAAATTAAATGGAGAGGACTTTGATAGCAACGAAGAGATAATTAATACGGTTAATTCGAACTTCTTAAGCTTAAAAAGCAAGGTAGTTTCTGTGCATTTTTTGACCAAAAACTTAGTACCTGGTTCCGATTCCCTATACCCTTTCATGTTCCTTAAACTAAGGAGGAGGTTCACTAAGACAACATTTGACTGTTAAACAATGACGTCGATTGAGGAATCAAAAAACATGACATGAAACGATTTTTTACAGTGTATGGAGAATTGAAAAAAAAGTTTAATAAGATGTTATATTTATCTACATGGAGTAATTTATGAAAAATATATACAAGGTGTGTTCAAAAAGTGTCGCGAGTTTTGAATTTTCGCGGGTTACGCGGCTCGGCCATTTTGAATGTTGACTTAATTGTTGACAGCTGCTTTGCGTGCACGTGTTTTGGATGGTCTTCGATTTTTACCTATTCAAAAAAATGGATCAAAGAACCGGTACAAAATTTTGTGTGAAAAACGAAATTAAGTGCGCGGATGCATTTCGAATGTTGACTGTGGCATACGGAGAAGCTACCTTGGACCGAAGCAACGTTTATCGGTGGTACAAAATGTTCTCAGAAGGCCGAGAAGATGTGCCCGACGAAGAGCGTGCCGAACGCCCGAGCACTTCAACAACAGATGAAAAAATTAATTGCAGGGGCGTGATGCATCATGAGTTCTTGCCACAGGGTAGAACGGTCAATAAGGAATATTACCTGCAAGTTATGCGCAATTTGCGCGAAACAATCAGCCAGAAACGCCCGAATTTGTGGAAGAACAAAAATTGGATTTTGCACCACGATAACGCCCCTGCTTACACATCGTTGCTTGTGCGCGACCAAAAACCACACACTAATGATGCCGCAGCCATCGTATTCCCCAGATCTGGCCACCTGTGACTTTTTCTTGTTCCCTAAACTGAAGAGGCCCATGAAAGGACGACGTTACGATACGATTGACGAGATAAAGACGGCATCGAAGGAGGAGGTGAACAAGATAAAAAAAATGATTTTTTGAAGTGCTTCGAAAATTGGAAAAACCGTTGGCACAAGTGTATAATATCTCATGGGGATTACTTTGAAGGGCACAAAATAGATATTTATGAATAAATAAACAATTTTTGAAAAAAAAAACACAAAATTCGCGATATTTTTATAATTGAAAAAAAAAAATTAATAAGAGCGTATAAAATAACATCTACATGGAGTTATTCATGAAAAATATATACTTTGGGGAAAATAAATCACCATCACTACACTTCCCGAACATACTTCGCACGTGTAATTTTACACTTTCGAAAATTTCACGATTTCTGCATTTTCCCCCGGAATTCTATTAAAAAGTTTACACATTCATTGTAAGGTACACAAGCACACATATGCAGGTGTAGAATATACATATGTAGTTGTATTTGTAATGAAAAAAATTAATTATTTTACGGCGTCTAGCAGGCTCAACCTTCCACGAGCATAAGTTTGGGAACGTTGCCAAGAGATAAATTTACACCCATCGTTGGTGACAGGCATTGATGGAGCTGTTCACTTTGCTTGCTTGAATACATACGTGTATGTATATCTACAATTAATTGATGTTCACAAATTTGATTGCAATAATTGATGTAAACACGTGAAAATCATATTTCGTTGCATATGAAAATTTATCAATGGCAAAATGACGTTTAATTAAACGTTTAAACTGTAATTGGGCATGGAGATACTCCTATAAATATCATGCGTATGGGATGAATGATTTGAAGCAATTTTTCAGGCCTAAATATATGTATGTGCATATGAATGGATGCAAAATTTGCACTTATTAATAGTCAATTATGTCCCTATGTACATACTACATACATACATAAGTATGTGACGAAGGTACATACATATATACATCTGTGCACATAAAAGTGTGGAAGTGAAATTTATGTCTTGAGATTTTTGTAAAAAAAAGCAATATTTTGGTAAAGTATGAAATTTATGATTCATCACAAAACAAGTTCCGGAGATTGAGTACTGCATTTGTAAAGTCTAAAACCAGCTTACAAGAGAAGATCCTGCCCTAATTTGCTTAACTTTCAGCTGTGTGTTTATTCAACTCAATGCAGCGTTTTCAAATAAAGGCATTTTGATATTCAAAGAATAAATATACAAATGATCGAATGTTTATGTCAATGTAAAGAGGAAGATTTGCTACTAAAAATGGAAATCAATATCAGTTAAATGACCTCCACGGCTACGGTTACAGTGCCGTATCCGATTATGAAATTTTTCCTCACCAAATCGGAATTATGAATCGGAAAGTGGCTGTTGTATGTATGTATCCCCTCAATATATTATTTATAAACCGCTGAAGCGATTTTCGGCCGAGCTCCTCCTCCTCCAATGGAGGGAACTACAGTTTATAATAAGCCGCTCCCGAGTGGCTGATGGTTTTTTTTTACGAGGAACCTTTATTTCATATCCGAAATACACTCGGAGGAGTGGACGCAATTAGAAAATTTTACTTAATATTTTATTTTGAATTAATTTTCTATAACCTTAGAATGTTGGTGGTACCATTGGCCTTTCGAAATTCATACTCAATGTTAACCCTCAATAGCTTCACAAATTACACCTTTTAGGTTTTGAGTCGACGTTGGCCTATTGGCGTAGATCTTATATTTCACCTCGCACCAGAGGGAAAACTTGCAAGGTCGTTGGCTAACTGTCATCACCTCTTCGAGAGATAACACGGTCCGGAAACATTTTTCTCTTAAAACATCGATGGTTTCGTTGCTTGTTTGGCACATAGCGCCGTCTTTTATCATCTCTCGATTGTACACTAAACTCACTGTCACTGTTGCTCCAGCCTCCTTTTCGAAAAAGTAAGGTCCAAAGACCCTGCCGGATCATAAACTGCAAAAACACGTTGAGGATGAAGAGGCTTTTCAGTAATAAATCTTGGGTTTCCTAGGCCCCTCGACGTAGCGATCGAGTTGGAAATAGCCCTAATCAGTCAAGATGATTTTTCGATGAAAGCAAAGACACGACATTAATAAGGGGTCGGCTTGAGTTCTCGTGTTAACTGAGCTTTATCAGCCTTAAGAGCCAAGTTCTTTATGCAAAATACGGTGTAATGACGTTTTTTGAAAGCCTAATTCCAAAGAACGATGAGAAATTGACAAACACAATGGAATTCCGATGGTGCAAGGTCCGGGCTATAAGGTTGGTACATTTAAACTTGCCAAGCATGCTCCGTCAGTTTTTTCCTGATCATCAAATATGTATAGATGTGTATATGGGCCTTATATTGTCATGATGAAACACAACACCTTTTCTATAGATCATTTCTGGTCATTGGAGCTCACAATTGACTGTTTCGCCAGGTGGTAGCAGCCCACCTGGCCTGAGGACTCTGCTATCTCCTAACAGCTTGCATGCCGGTCTTGCTCCACCATTTGCTGAAATTTAACTACTTTTTGATTTACTGGCGGACCATCGACAAAATTTCCGAACGAAATCGTGTCTTTTGCGATTGAGGTAGGCAGCCGATTACAAAGGATTTTCCCCAATGTGGACCTGGGACCAATTTATTCGAAAATTTTTGTTTTATTTCTAAATCGTTCAATTTAGTTGAAAGTTCATACAGAGAAAGCTTTGGGCATATTTCGTTTCGGTAATTTTGATGTGAAAGACCTTTTTTCGAAAATGTCGATAAAATAATCGACATCGTCGAGTCAGACCATCATGCGAGCACTCTTTCGTTTGCCCTGGAGCTATAAGCATTGCACAAAAAAGTATTTGGAATCACTTGAAAAAGGCTCGATACACAAAAAAGCTTGACGTATGGGTGTCAAATGAGCTTACGAGAAAAAACCTTCCGAGCCACAAGCAAATCGCTGCAGAATCGTAACAAAATCCAACCATTTCAGAAGCGGATGGGTACTGGCGATAAAAAGTGCAGCACTTATAACAGTGTCAAACCACATCGTGGTTGATGGAAAGTGAGCCGGTGCAAACTTGAAGATCGGCCAGGATTGAAGGTCGGAAAGTTTTTGTTGTGTCTTTGATGGAATTTGCAAGGAATCAACCTCACACGAATTGCTCTCCTACGACCAAAATCTTAATTCAGACCTATACTTTGAGCAATCGCACTTTCCGAAGGATGCAATCGCCCAGAGGTGCCCTGCTTTGACCAACAAAAGAGGAATTGTGTTTCATCAAGCCAACGCAAGACCATATACATCGATAGCGACTCGCCAGCAACGCCGAAGGCTCAATTTAGGAAATTTAGGAGGTTCTTATGTATCCACGTTATTTTCCGAACCACGCACAAAGTGATTACGAACTTTACCTATCTTTATCAATTGATATTGTTGGTAAAAAATTGGCTTCAAGAGAAGCCTGAGATAATCGATTATTACAATTTCATGCCAATAGGTAGCCAAGGGTTTCTATGAGAGAGGCATAGCGAAGGCAATGTCAAAGAGAAAAACAAAAATTATCGATAACTTGTTACCCATAAATACTTAAAAAAAAATATTAAAAAATTTTTAACTTTATAAATAACGGTGTAGGTACTTTGAGTTTGGTTTGAGTTGGGTGTTTAAATAAAATTTTGATGTTTACATGAACACTCGTATTGTGTGTTTTATTGATATGGTGTAGCATGTATGCATGTAAATATATGTATGTACATGGGTATAGGAGTATATATGTAAACTTGTTTCTATATTTGGGATTATCCAATTCATTACCACAATTATCAGCCACCTGTTGCAATGCATAACAAATTTGACGGTGTTGCTCATCACTCTTCATATGTTCGCTGGAACAATAGTAAAGCAAGTGACAACGTTTGCAAGGAACTTTCGTCTGTGGTGTGAGCTCATTCTTACAAAACTGAAACAGTCTAACTTTAAGAAAAAATTATTTTTCAATTTCAAAAAAAATCTCTACCTACATTGCAAAGTGCAACCAAAAAGTAGCGACGCGGTCGGTAAACGTATTCCACATAGTCTTCTTCATCACCCGAAGATTCCACATCACTTATGGGCTCCTCGTGTAGAAGTTTCTGTAAGTTTTCCAGTAGATTATTTGGTAAATCGGTGCTGCCTACATGTGTAGATGGAGATATTTTTGTTGTTTGTTGTTAGTTTCTTTTCAAAAATGTTTTTTTTTTCTTCAAAACAAACCGTTAGCCACTGAGTGCTCTAATTTCTTTTGTAAACTCGCCACAAATGCACTCTGCTCTGTTGAATTATCCGCTGTTGGACTTTTCTTTGCCATGGACTCTTTAGCGTCAATTGTTCTTCCGCTGTCTTTGCTTCTGCTTGCATTCGTACCGCTCTTTTGCGGCTTATTAACCTTTTCCACTTGTTTTGCTTCGGATTTAGCGACCTCATCACTTTGCACTTGTTGTTGTTGTTGTTGTTGTTGTTGGTATTGTTGTTTTTGTTGTTGTTGTTGTTGTTGTTGTTGCAAAAGTTTTGTACGCATCATTTGTTGTATTAATTTCAAACTTTGATTTGAATCATCCATTGCATCCGTTACCGTTTGGTCACCTATTATAGACGATTTTGGCCCTTCGTTGCTCTCATTGTCGTTTTCTTTACCTAAAATTTGCTCTTGGCTCACATTTTTCGAAAGATTTTCACCGCCAAATTCATCATTATCCCCGCCACTTTCGTTAAATTTAGTTAACTCTTCGTTGTGCGAATCAGTCTGACCCATTTCCTGCTTTAAACGGTTGGCTTTGTTTCTTGCTCTGTTACGTTGCCGTGTTTTCTTTTGTTTTCCATCCATAATGAATTATGAATTCAAATAATAAAATATAAAAAAAACTTATGCAATTGTTTTATAAATTTTTTTTTTTTAAATTTCTGTGCTTTCGCGAATTTCCCCACAAACTATTCACTTTGAATTTTCGCCAACGAATGCCCGAACTGACAGTCAGACCAAATTCACTTGGTGCCCTCACATCTAATTTAAAATCTCTGCAGATGTCTTGTACTATTGTTAGTACAATCCACTTTAGAGAACGACAAATGCAATGGGCACACGCTTTTCAGCATTTTTGTTGTCGTTTTAATAGTTGTGTGTCTTTAAAATTTCTTTTATTTTGTTTTTGTTTCTCATGTCTGCCGACTTATTATTGATGCTTCTCCTTGCGAATTGCTTGTGACGTCTGCGTTTCATGATTATGTATGTGGTCGTGTGCATAAGAATTAACTTCTGCTTGAATGTTGAGGTAGATAATATACATACACATACATATATATCTTCTTCTTTACGGGTATAGACACACCTTAGTTCTTCTCGGTGTTAGGCGTCAATTGGAAATACGATGCACAGCCTGGCCTTTCCAACGGAGTGGAGGTGTTCCTCTCCCTCTGCTTTCACCGGCGTGTGCTGGGCCAAGGAAACTTTCAAAGCTGTAGTATTCTTATCCATTTGGACCACTAGCCGCTGTTGCTTGATTCGCTGAACTATGCCATAAATGGCCTTCTATTTCATACAGCTCATCGTTCCATTGGCTGCGGTATTACCCGCAAAAGAACTCCCAACGCCGCCTAATCAGATGTTGTTATTGTAACCGCAAAGATAGTACCCTAATTGGTTTTCTGGGAATATTGCGAGAGTGACAGTACTCGGTCAATTATTAATCCAGCTCGCTCCGGTATAAAGATTAGACTGGCGCGGGAACTATTGGATTTTAGTCAGCACTTATGGCATGCAATTGGTAAGTTCTTCAGCCCCTAATCCGCAGGGATCATCAGATGATGTCATCGACTATAACTTCGCGTCATAGGGCGGGAAGGCAATTATGGTCGACTTGTAGAGTTTGGTCTTTGCTCGTCGAGCACGTGTTAGCAAAGCTAATTTTGCTTTGGATAACGAGGTTAACATTGTTGTTGGAATTAATGCTACTTCCGATAGATGTATATATATATATAATTAGCGCTTTGTACCCGCTGAAGCTATCTTCAACCGAGGCCCCCTCCAATTTGTGGTTTTGTGTCTTGATGTTTTTTCCAACAAACTGGAGGGACGGACCTACAGTTTATACTTAACCGCCTCCGAACGGCTGATTGTTTTTTATGAGAAATTATGACTCTTAGTGACGTGGGAGCCAAGTTGTAAATGCTTTAGCTGTTTGTTTGATGACAGGAGATATTTCGTCTTACTCGGGCCCGATTCCCGGAAGAATGAATGTCCACTATATTAATTTATCTCAAAGCTTGTCTATCAAAAATCTTTAAATTGTAATGATTTCAAAATAAATTCGACTTTTTCGAATAGGACCGATCTATTCGGTCTACATTCCCTAAAATCCATTCTGATCGGAAGCCTATGCCATACATGCAAGACACCCTCCAAGTCTCAGGTATCCACGATTAATGGTTTAAGCATTAGCGTCGGGCATTCGGAGCAAAGCCTTAATACATATATACTATATATTTATACGTATGTATGATATCTAGCCGTATAGCCATTCGAAAGGCTCGGGTACAAATCCTGGTACCATCAACATCCTAAAGTTATGGAAAATATATTTAACAATTGGAAGACCAGTTCAGCAAATTCTAAGCCGCTACCTATCAAGTGAGAGATTTCTTTGGGAATCTTTTCTCTTTCATGTCAGAAATGCTCATGAGCTAGTTGAAAGAAAATTTAGTAAACTGGGTCCTGCGATGTAAGGCGATAAAATGTTAGAACATGACTCAGACTAAACATACAAAGAAAACCAGGAAGAGAAGAATATTATTGGTAATAATAGAGACTTTTATGGTGGGTCTAAATATGAATCATGCACCGAAGCAAGGATTTCCTCGCACCTCGACCTAATACCGAATGAAATTTCTAGCCAAATTACTGAAATTCATCATCCTTCCTGCGATTTTGGGCATACTAAAGAAGGCAAATAAGCATTTCCTTATCAAGACAAGTTATTCGGTTTTTAAAGGCTCCACACCACAAACTCAAGAAGAAGTATAGCCTAGAATCGAGGTTATAAACCACCAATTATCTATTTATATATATGTGTTGGTCATGTAAGAAGTTCGTTCGGTTTTTTATTGGTTTTTCAAAATATGATAACTTTGTGTACATTTGTTCGATTTAAGTGAAATATGCGCCGTTTGTAAACTTGTTGACAACGAGATTCCAACTTCACTATACCCCTCTCGTGGAAGGCTGCGTTCCTATTGGCAAAAAACTCGGAGAGCCAATTTTCACAGGCCTCTCTTGAGGCCAACTTTACACCACTAAGCGCGTTCACAATGGACAGGAAAAGATAGTAATCACTTGGTGCCAGGTCCGTGCGGATTAGAACCTCCCATCAGAGCACCTGGAGCTTCTGGTGCGTCACCAAAGACATGTGTGGCCTGGCGTTGTCCTTATGGAACATAGTTCGGCCTCTGTTGATCAAAGAAGACCTCTTCTGGATTAGTGCTGCCTTCAAGCGGTCCATTTGTTGGCAGTAGACGGCCGTGTTTAGCGTTTGGCCATTGGGGAGCAGCTCATAGTAGATGATTCCTTGCCAATCCTACCAAACACACAGCAAAACCTTCCTGGCCGTCAATCCGATCTTGGCCAATGTCTGGGCAGCTTCCCCGTGCTTTGACCACGATCGTTTGCGCTCAATGTTGTCGAAAGTGACCCATTTTTCATCGCCAATCACAATCCGCTTCAGAAACGGGTCGACTTTGTTGCGATTTAGCAGCGATTCGCAGATGGAAATTCGGTCCATCATGTTTTTTGCATTAGTTCGTGTGGCGTGGGAGAGAACATTGTAAGTGAATGCTGAACCCAGGATTAATTTGCCCAACTCCGTTCCGGAAAGTTTGATGTCAAAATCTAACAATTTCCGAAGCGACCCATCACGGGCTATAAAAAAAGCATATACATAAGTAAATTAAGAAAGGCTAGTGATCCTCCACGAAGGATTTAAAGGCCTGAGTTGATGGCAAACAAGCTGATTTTGAGTGTATGATAGGTTTGGTAGGAGACTATCCATTACTTGCGGCTACAACCTGGCGAAACGGTCAATTCTGAGCTCTACTATCAACAATTAATCAGCTTATAATTTAGCTTTTCAAAAAAGACATCCACAATTACTCAATGGAATAGGTGTAGTGTTTCATTATTACAAGCTACATACATATGTTCATACATCTTTGATGGCCAGGCAAACATTGATGAAGCTTTGTTGGTAAGTTTTAAGGCGCTCGTCTTATAGCTCGAACACCAACCGATTATAATTTGTTTCGGACTCTGCAAAACTTTCTTGATGGTAGAAAAAGTGGCCAATCGAAGAGCCGCGAAAAATTATTTAACCAAGTTCTTCGGCGACAAGCCACAGAAGCTCCTTCTTCTTCTTTATTGGCGTTGGCATTGCTTACGCAACCGCTATAGCCGTTTGTTTTTTTTTCACCCGAGACTTCTTTGATTTTTTCATTGCAGTTGTTTTTTATGTGGTGGGTCCCAAACACTACGCAAGACCGCATGGGATTCGCCTTTTTACTTAAGCTTGCCTCCAAACGGATGTTTGTTGGCTACCCAGGGATTCTTGGTCTAGGACCGGAAGTCGAGAACTGCTTGAGCAAAAACTTTCCTCACCTGTGTGAACTTCTACACACGGACCCATCACCACAGAAGCCCCACACAAATGAAATTATGAAGCTACCCGAAACATGACAAAAGTTCATAGATAATAATAGTCAATAATCGAGTGGTTAGCGCTGCGTACTGCCATTCTTAAGGTCAAGGCCCGAATTCTGTTTCGACGAACATTGAAAGTTACAGAAAATTAAGTTTTCCAATTCGCGATCGACCCTCGGTAGGGAATGTCAAGTCCTCCGATTGTATTTCTGGCACAAAATAGAGGCTCCTGGTAAAAAAAACCATCAGCCGTTCGGAAGCGGCTTGGAATTAACTGTAGTTTTCCTTATTTTTTGGAAAAACATTAAGATGCGAAACTACAAGTTGGAGGAATGATTTAAATAAATTTTGGGAAAAAAATGTCAAAAAAATACAAAAAGACTTCGGTGGTATTGACAACCACCTTAATAACTCGCATAGCAACGAAGACTATTTACGAAGAATATTAACTACTGCGGCCAAAATAAACAAAGCTAACCACAAATACCGTAAAAAACTTAGTTTGTAATTTACTTTTGCAATGAATGCAACCAGCAGGACCGGCTTGGTGCCGGCTAAAAAGAAAAATCTTATGGCAAAAGAAAAGGTAAAATATATGTACTGTTGGGAAACTACATCTTTAAAAATCGAATTCTCTTCTGCCTAAAGCGAAAGCGGCCAATTGATGAGTTACCACTAAAATTCGAAGCCGTACCCGTTGCTCTATCATTACGACCTTTCGGTGGACTGTTCAATCCTTTCTCTAAAGGCTGTTCGGTGCTATGCAATCACCCGGCACCGACAGATTTGAAGAATATAATAACTCAACTGAAAACTTCCCTGGTAAGTACCACGCCACTTTTTCTGAATTTTACCTAACCAAAGTTTCCATATTCTAGACAGTGGATGGCAAAAGTGTGGCACTACAGAAGGATAAAAACGATGTGCTACCACTTCATGAACACGATAATATACCTGAAGATCTATTTCGACGCTACACCGACACCGATTCCCGACCGCTAACACCAACACCAACCGTTACCAGCGTACACACGCGGAACAGCACAAATTCATTTGTAAACAATCGACGCTGCATAACACCTGAATTGGGTAAAAACGAAATAATTAAGAGGAAGAAAATTATTTTAGATCTAAGGCGAACACATTCTCAGGAGACACTTTATTGGAAACCCTCCTCGGATATGTCGCAAAGTGTCACTGATCCTGGTGGTCTCAAGCCGAAAAGTGCTGGCGCGAATGAGGAACGAAAGAATAAACATTTGCGCAGTGATGAACAACGGCCCAATACCTCATTGGGTAATGTACCGGTTGGTGATGGTGTTAAAGAACTAGAGGGTGTTGAAATAAAGAAAGTGCAAACTTGCATTAACGAGCAGCATATTGATGATGAGGATGTGCGACGTGGAAAGAAACGGAAAAAGTTAAAACCCACCACAAGTTGGTTGCCTTCATATTTTTCGAAAATCTTAGCTATTATTGTGCACACTTTTCAGCTACAACAACAACATTTCATCTTAGTGAAGATCCAGAGACACAAGTCGCAGCACTTGGCCCAGACTCGCTTAATCCCAGCACACGTCCTAGTCTCATACCGAACTCTGTGAATTTACTGCCCGGCAAGGACAAGCGTGGAAGTGAACCCATACTGCTGAAGGGTAGCTTTCTAACAAATGAGGCTTTTCAGGCATTGAAAACAGAATTAGATATTGACCTTATTGAAAACACTTTCGATAAATATGTAAGCAAAAATAATTTAAAAAACTAACTGTAGCCAATAAGAATTTACCCACCCCCCTAACCTAGTTAAATCGCGCTTTGCGTGAAGCGCTTAAATATCTCCCAGAAAAGAAAGCCGTATCAAGCAAAAAAGTGATTGAGAAATCTGAAAATCTTCCATTTCAAACGCAATCCAAATTGCCACGCAAACTTTCAAAATCAGCAACAAGATTCGATGTGCCGCTGGATCCAAAATTACTAGAAGGTTCGATAATAACTGCCGAAAAAGAAATAACAACGATATTTTTCATCTGATTTTCTTTTAGAAATGACAGTTTTAGATTATCTTGGAAAATACGTTTGGGTCTCCAGTCAACGTAAGCAACTCTTTAAGCGTGTTTTCTTACAATATTTACCAACGGAAGTAATAGAAACGGAAGAAACTGCCGATGTTAATTTTTCAAAACAAAACGGCAACGCCGAAGATGATTCCTTGCCGGTGTTAAATGAGTATGTCGAACGCAAAATACCACTGGCTTGTTTTCCTGAAGCATTGGCGGATGTTTTAGAATTTTACGGTACCGAAAAAAATATTTCGGAAATCTTGCGAATAATAGATTATGATAAGGAAAAATCAGCAAGAGAAATAGACTTTCGTACATGGTGTGGCGTTGTATCGTTTGCCGAACGTCTGGCCTTGGAAAATCCCAATAGCTCTGATTCGAGTGATGAGGTAAATATTACTATTCAGATTTATTTCATTATAATTGGTGCTTGGGAACCACTGAAGCGATTTTCGACGAACACCTCCTCCAATTTGTGTTGAGAATCTAGATGTGACCGAATAGAGGGACCTACAGTATATTCAAAGCGGGTTCCAAAAGGGGGATGGATTTTTATGAGGAGTTTGCTCTACGGAATCTTTTAAAATTACCTCTGAAATAGTTCCTTTTTTCAGAGAATACAAATCATTCAACCATATCGACCACGTTCCTCTAGTCTACCGACAGGACAAGTTTTATTCCCACTTTGACGCAGCCTGTTTGTAAAAGCATTTCCTTTATTTCTTATTTCACATGTGGCTAGAGGAAAGTTAATGCGTTTTTTTCCCCGTAGAATTTGATTGGTCGTACCTTGCGAAGCAAATTCGTTTGTCTTGCAGTTTCCTTGACCAGGAACCTAGCGAGAAATACACTGTGTTGTGAAACTATGCAATGAAGAGTAACTATGCAAATTCTCACTATTTTAGAGTGAACATGACCGAGCCTAGAACTCTTATTGCTGTCTGTCAGTTCCCATGATAGCGTAGATTTCGGCTTGAAACATACTGTAATGATCTGATAGCTTGAATGGGAGTACCAATGAAGGGCTACGTGAATAATATTTGAAAGCTCCCGGTTGGATGTCATATTTGTTTTTTCATTCTTCTCTGCCGGAAATCAGTGTAATAAATGGTACCCAAAGTAAAAGGTATTTGCTACTTGATAGAAAAGTATAAGTTGCTGGGGCTCTTGAGACCCGATGGTTGATCAGAGTATAATTTTTGTTTCTTCAAACAGAGAACCGCGAGCCATGCCATTTGATGTGCAACTATATCTAAAAACAGAATGTGGTCTTTCTACACTTTTTAAGCAGCCAAATTAGATTAGAAAATACTGAGATAAGGTCATATCGAATTACCTGATAACCTAGGGCTAGGGCTAGGTCGCCGAAAGGGTGGTTTCCCTTGGATGGATTAAAACCGGATCAACATTGGTTCGTATGTGAGGCCTAACCACCATTAGGCATATAAAGAAGGGAGTGCTCGTATAGACAAACTCCATTGAGCACCACATACAAAAATAGCTGGACATTGACGGCGTAATGACAGGATTTCACCGAAAGTCCATCAAGTCGACTATGACGTACGACACGACACTAACTACCACATTGCAATTCCCTTAAAACCTACTCATTTAACCCCAGTTTTACTCTGGTCCGAACCCGTCGATACAATTCGTTTCCTGGACACCCCGCATATCTTAAGAGATGCTAGATAGCCACTACAACAACAACACCTCATATACTTTCATATTATCATTAACTAATTAAAACTTTTGAGTCAAAAAATTAAAAATTTTCATGCGTTGGATAATTTTTCTCTTGCAGCTGGAAAAAGCCGATTTTGGCAGTTTGGAAGAAAGATTAGGAAATTTCACAATTCCTGAAAAGCTGCTAGAAGTTCTGAAAATAATTCGGTCAACACATAATGTATAAAATATAAAGCCTTACCATAATTTTCATGATCCCAAGAAAGTTTAAAGAACTGAATTTCAAAACAACCCAAAATGCCTTTACATACCCGTATATTGTAAACACGGTTTAAGATGAATTGAACGCCCTGTACTTTGCGTCGTACTTTAGCAACAGCTGATTCAATTTTGACAGATGCTAAAATTAAATTAAAGAAAAAGATATACACAGTAATCAAATTTGGGAATATCGAATTATAGAAAATTATAGATAAATTAAAGTTTTATTCAAATTAATAATGGCAACTTTAGAAGATAAATTGATGGGTGAAAAATTGGAGTACTACTGTAGCAGTAGTGAAGGCGAAGACAATGGCGATGATGATGGAGAAAGTAGAGGAGCTAGAGGAAATAAACAAGGAACTGCTGGCTTTGTCGATCCTGATGTATGCCCACCACCACCCGCAGAAGGCTATAGGTCACAGGTTTCTACAAATACTGGACCAAAAGGTGTGGTACAGGATTGGCAGCGTTTCAAACAATTGCAGGCTGAAAAACGCGAAGAGTCTGAACGTCAACGTATAGAACTAGCTAAAAAGTTGACAATGACAGCAGCGACTGCAAAAGAAGAGGAAGAACGCAAACGACAAGAAGAAATCGATGCTGAACTGGACGAACTTATGAGTGAAGATTTCTTACAACAATATCAAAAGCAACGCATGGCTGAAATGCTACGCCAATGTGGACATATTAAACAATTTGGCAAAGTTATAAGTTTAACTACGCATGGAGAATTTTTAGACTTCATTGAAAAGGAAAACAAACACACCACCGTCATTATACATATTTATGATAAGAACATAAGTGCATGTTCAACACTAAATCGCTGCCTTGATACACTTGCAACAGATTATCCGTCCATTAAATTTGGGAAGATATGTAGTTCTGTTGCGGGCATGAGTCGGGACTTTCGTGACAAAGGATTACCTGCATTGTTGGTGTATAAAGCACAAGCTTTGATAGGAAACTTCGTGCGTGTAACGGATGATTTATCGGATGATTTCTTTCCTTCGGATGTGGAAAGCTTTCTAATAGAGAATGGTATAGTCGTGGACAAAACTTTGTATAATTAAGGCATATTTATATTTGTATTTAACAAACAACAGAGAGAGTCTATGCATTTTTCAAGTAAAATAATTATATCTTTAGCATATAAGTATGAATTATATTAATGTTTGTTTTTAAACAAAACATATTTATGTGGTAAAAAGCTAATATTCTTTTATTGATTGGCGGAAAACTCAGATTTTAATAACTAACTTTAACCTGAAATGTGTTCCTTGCAAATTTGTACAAACACTAGGGTATGGTTAAAAAATTTGGATTAAAAACAAATAAGGGAAATGGCAAAGTACTCACATGAAGCCTGTTATTATTTAAATCTAACACAACTAAGCTTAAGGACTACTATGCACTAATTACTTAAGATATATGTGTGTGTGTAATATATTTTTAAGTACATACATACATACATATAACATGATTTCTATAAAATCTCCATTGATGACAAGTATTTTGTAAAAGTGTATTAATAAATGTAAAGAAAAAGATTAAATACTATTTCGTTTTATTGAAATGTTTTTGGTAATTATCAAGGTAAATGTATACAATGAAAAAATAGTTCTTACTTTAAAAAAAATATTATTCATTAGAATATTAGGTTTAAAGATGTGTCAATATTCGTAAAGCATGTTCTATAGAATTTTAATTATTATTTCTTCTCATTCTCAAACCATTTTTGTTTAATTCCAAAATATCTGTACACCCATTCTAATCAATTTTTGAGTCGTAAACCATTTTGTTAACATTCGAACTGAAACAGTTCATAAAGCATTCCTTTAAATGAGAGTTCTTTGCATACCAGAGAGTTAAGATGGTGTGACTATATCATTTGTGGTCCCTTGTTATGTCTTTATAAGAAATCAGATAAATAAGTTTTAATGATTCAGGGGCATACATATATTTGAAATTGCATATTACTTAAATACTTACCCATGTTGTTGCAATTAATCACTGTATAATTTTCTTTCATTAAAAAATTAATATAAACATAAAATTAATTGTCATTTTCCCATAAATATGTATTACACATTAATTTATTTTCATTATTTCACTATATTTGCATCTTCTTAATTATTTCATAAATATTTAGCATCATTTTTAAATATTTCTTTTTTATTTTATGTTCGGCAAAATTAATTATTACACACATACGCCCACATTATGCAAGCTTATTTTCGAATTTTTTATTTAACATTAACGGTTCATACCTTTAGAATCATATACATATGTACATAGTTTAATACACAACCGACACACATAAATGCCTTCGTGGCGAATTTTAGGTCAACTGGAAATTACAATTAAAAATAGCACATGTATATATGTACATAATCGTATATAATACTCAGCCGAAGGACTGAATACTTACGCATAATTACAAACATACCTAATAGTTATAAGCGAGTACAAAATATAATGCAAATATGCCAGATTTCAAGCCAAATATACAAATATGTATATGAATTTACTTTTTAAATGCTTAAATACTATATTATACTATATATATATATATACTATACTTAAGTATAGAAAATTCGAAATTAAATTAATTTTGGTTTGGTTTATACACATATTTTTTTTATTATTTTAGTGATATTAAATATATTAAATTTATTTTGTTATCTTTTTTTATAGTTTTCTCTTTTCTTTTCGTTCTAGTATATATTTTTATTTTTTATATTTTTAAATAAATTACAAATATTTTCACTCATTTAGCTGCCTGTTAATATATATACATTTTTATACATATAGAGATATCCTGCATGATATTGCTTCTGCAGTTCACAACTGATACATAAACCATTTTTTTTATCTTAATATAGAAATGTACTGTTTCAAATATAATATTTGGACTATACCGTGAAATGAAAAATTAAAAAAAACAAGATTCTCTAATTGCTCGTTACACGATCCAACAAAATTAGCATCGTATTCTTGTGTAATTACTTTTAAAAAATTTAATATTTGAAAAATCCGTATTGTTAATTTTTGAGCCTTCGTAAAACAATAGATTACGCAACAATTTTCACATGATAAAAATCTATTAAAGTTTCACAATTTCCAAATATAATAAAAAAATATTACTTAAAAAGTAAATCCGAAAGGGTATTTTCGTCATACAATCTAATTATTTTTTAAGAATAAAAATAATTAAGAAAAAATTCGAAGTTTTCAACCGATAGGCGCGAGCAAATTGAATTAGATTGAATTAACTCAGTGTTTGAAGCCATAATTATTGCCCGATAACAGCCAGATTAAGAACTTAATGCTTTTCTGAGGTGTTTTTGCTAACAAATTTTATTTATTAAAAAAAAAAAAATATTTATAAATAAAAGTTTTCGCAGATAAGTAGATGTATAAAAATATGAAATGATTTTTTCAATAGCGGCTCTTAAATTAGCTGCTGAAGCACATCCCTTTTATTGGTGAGCGACGCGATAACTGTAAATCCACCAAATCAAAACGGTTTCTCGCTCTGTATCACATTGGCTATGGCCGGATCTACAGTGCAACATTTTCACAAAAAAAAAAAAAAAAAAAATAGCGGACCCATTTTTTTTACCCATTTTTCTAATTTGTATTGTTAATAAATTTTTTAAATAACAATGCATATTTTTGGGTGTAGTAACGGTCATAGAGAGACATTTTAGAAGTAAAACACCGTTTAGTTCATCTTGATAAGTTCAAAATGTTGTAAATAAGAGTGTCACTCAGTAGCAAAAAAATGTGGTTTCGAGAAAGAGGCGATTAAAGTACACGAGCGGCCGAATTTACCGCTTGGCGCGCTCCCCTCCTCCCTCTTCTATACTTACACCTTGGTCTTCCGGACCTTTGGGACTAATTCTATATTATTTCTAAGAGTATTTTCTAGCATTTTACAGAAAACAATTTCTAATTTTTGAATTTTTTTTAATGGAACCTGGCCTGGAAAAGATTTTGTTTCGAATTTGCCTGAGTAGATTATGAGAGTAGGTCAAAAAGTTTGTTTCCGTGCCAAGAAGCAGAAATTGCGATTTTAATTCTACAAAAAAATCTAAGAACTTGCTTTAGTAATTGAATCAATTCAACTCGCATAGAAATAAATAGCAGTAAATATTTTGAGGTTAGAATGGGAAATTCTAATTTCTAAAAATTTGGCATCTCTTGATTTTGAATATTTTTTTTTTTATAAAAAAAATACGAGTTCATGCTGATATCAAATTCGGCCTGAATCATGAAATTTCACTTCATAAATCAAGCAAGGGGTCAGCTCATCGAAATGAAAAAAATGTGTTCCTCTTCTTATTTTGTACAGTTTTGCAGCTTCTGCTCGCAAAAGATTGTTTCTCAGTATCACTTTTCTAATCAATAAATTTTATACTTTTCAGAAACACAAAACGAAAGTACACAGCTGGACAAAATAATAGGTGTAAATGCAGTGCAGAGGAGGGTTAAGTTATTGAACAGCTCTGAAATAAAGGAAAACCCTTTGCGAATTAATTTCCAAATCAATAGAACGCTCAGAAATTTTCATTACAAATGTTTCAAAATTAGAAAAAGAAAATAAAATACGCACGGTACATAAAAAAGCTACACCAGAGGTCAAAAATTGTATTCGAAGATTAGCTAAAGTGGACTCGTGTTGGTACTCTAACGCATTTGCTAGCGAAATCTTCGCAAACGATAATTTGCCTGAAATAAATATACTCGAAAAGCTTCACTGTTTAAGACACCAAATTTTTGGGAAGAGGAAAGACCTTGCAATATTTCATAAAACTCGACGTGGATCAGACGGAAAAAGAAAACACGACGTAATATTTTCTGGGGCGTTGAAAGAATGGAGAATTTGTTTGATAACGGTGTTGAATGAAAGGTTTTCCATACAAAATAAAGGAGTTTTGCATTAGATTTACAAAAAAAAACAGTGAAGAACGGAGATGACAGGTGTTGTTCCGATACATCAGATTATGAGATTGATGGGGGGAATTGTGATGATATACCGAGCATAATTTCAGCTGAGTAACAATCCTAAGCAGCATCACGTGATGTGAACTCCCATGTAAATATTGTGAATGTCCTCGCCAGAACCCTGTACTATCCTAAACTCATCGGCAATACTTAAAATCGTAATATCGAAGACCCTTTGCCAAAATAAAACCCAGCTATGTGAAGTCTTTAAAAAGTTTGGTACGGCAATGCTGTTGAAACTTTGCGAAAATTAACATTATCAATGCTCGAAAGAATCGAGAGAGTTATCAAGAATAAAAACTGCTAATAATTAGGCTATTAACCAATCTCTAACTAATACAGCAAAATGCGGCCCAAAATCTACACAAATGCAATATTAATAACTATTTCTGTTGGACACGCCCCTTTTATACTGGCCAAATGAAATATGTCAATTTTATGAACTAACCAAAAATTAAATTGTTTTTGCAAGTTTTTAAAAAAATTTAATTTCTTTTCATAATACCGAATATATCTTCTTCTTCTTAATATATAGAAATGACTTTTGTTTGTTAGTGACGAAAACGGCTGGACCAATAATGCTGAAATTTTCAGAAGCTGTTCGTTGTGGATCTGGAAAGGTTTAGAAATTAAAAAAACCTCATCCCTTTCCTGAGGAAAAGTCGGAAAATTAAAAATTCCAAAAAGTGACTTTTTTCATCCACATATTTTTTGTTCAATTTGTTTTTTTTTTCTTTTCAAATCTATAAGAAAGAAAAAACAATTTTTTTTTAAATAGATAAAAGATGGTTAGTAAAAGATTTTCAATGCGATAATAGGCTACAAGATAGTCACTGAAAGTGTGTGGCATAAATCTGGAAATGCCATATTTTTCACACTGCCAACTAGACGTGGCGTGTTCACGAGTTGGGAAACCAAACCAACTGCTCTGTAAATTTACGCGCCGCAACAGAAAACAGAAGTATTTTTTATCAAGTTACGTTACATTTGAAAGAAAAATCAAACAAATGATTTTCTACAGAAAATAAATTTTACTTTCTTTTCTTTTCATAAAAGATAATTTCACGAAGGACAACGCCAGCGAGGTGAGGCAGTTTAAAGAGAAAATTTTCTTTGAAGTAAATTGGAAAATAAATGAAATACAAGCATTTTTGGTGTAAAAACAATTTAGGCACACCTATGTTTTTGTCCAGCTGTGTACTTATATGTAGTCACACACATACCAATACCGGGAACTAGACCCAATGGAAGCGCTAAGTACCTATTAAATATAAAAAACGGATAATTTCTTGCATGTAACCGCTTAAAAAATGCCAAAGAGGTGATTGAAGAATTTTTTTAATAGCATAAATTAAAACTATATTTTTCAAATAAAACAAATTTTTAGTTTTCGTATTTATAAAATATAGATATTTTAAAAATAATTTAATTGATATCTAAAAAATAAATGGGTGAACTAATGAAAGTCTCAAACAAATACATCCATTGTATTTATGCTATAATTTCTTTTAATTTTAATTTTGCCAGTTTCAATTTAAATAATATTTTTATACGTTAAATTAAGCGAATTATAGCTATAATTTTATATTATAGATTGTACAAACATTTTAAAAATTTTTAAATTAACTTTTTTTTACTTCATACCATAGTATGGTATGGTTATGAAATTTCAAAAAAAAAAAAATTATTTATTTTTATTTACAACGGTACACTTATTGATAGGCAGTAAAGAGCTAAAAATATATAAAACTTAAAAAATAGTATTTAATTTTCGTATATTCGAATAATACTGAGTTGAGGCAACGAAAAATGGAAATCGTTTTAATTTTTCAAATTTTTTTTTTTTGAGAATTTATCTAATTTTACTTAGTGAAAATATGTCAGTAATAAATTACATATATTAATAATCAATAATCAAACGATACGAATAATATATTCACTTAATTTTCCAACATCGATAGATGAACACTTTTATGTACAAGCATACATACATACATATGTATGTATTTACATCGAATGTGTATTATAAATATTTAAATTTAAGCTAATTTAAATATATGTATAATGCATTTTTATAATACAATTAATATAATATATGTATGTATATACAGCGAACTTATTGCTAACGATTTTCTTAATGAAAAAATTAACTAAAAGCATTTCAATCAATGCTCCCATTAACTAACTACATTTAAGTATGCGCATACATATGCATAATAGGTAAATACATGTATGTACATATATATGTATGTACGTATAAGCTTCAATAAATTCATGTTTGAAACAAAGTTTTAGAATTTTTTCTAAACAATATTACTATCACTAACTTTATTTAGTTCTTTTTATTATGAACTTTTTCATTTAACGGCATTAATTTGAATTGTTTTTATTACTTTCACTCATCTTACATAACCTACACAAGTTTAATGCGCCCGCTCATATGTATGTAGGCTTTAAAAATGTGATTCCGAATACACATTTTAGGAAAGTTTCAAATGCAAAATTTATAAAAAGCAATTAACGATTTTCTTTCTGCATATTTTTACTTTTGCAACTTCAAAAATGAATGTATGTACACTTGTGTTTGCTCATCTTTAAACTTTCAAACTTTTTTTATTCTTTTACAAGAACTTTCGAACTCATACTTGATTCAAAATTATCTCTTAATATAATATGTATGTTTGTATGTATGTATGTATACACATAAGTCTTGATTAGTTATTTTGAAATAACATCTGATATACCTAAGTAGTATTTATTCGTATATACATATTTTCGTACATAAGCTTACTTTCTATTTTCATACACGTGGCGCTTTGAATGTGATCGTTGAGACACCCTCATCCGCCGTTTGAAGCCCTTCATTACTTTGATTCTTCATCGCCGTTGTCGTCGCACTGACCACGTTTTCCAAATTTCGCGGCGTCATCAGCGTAGGCATATTATTCATCATACCGCCGGTCGTCAGGAAAATCAAATTATTATTACCACTCACGTCAGCGTATGTTGCCGCTACATTATCGCAAACAACTTTCATAGGCTCAGTAGTATCCATAGGCATACTACCAGCACCTAAATCATCAACGCAAGTGCCGCGTCCACTTTCAGCCGTTGCTGCGCATGCGTCACCGCCACTTTGTAGATCTGCTAAAAATTGCCGCTTGCATTCACGTGAATCGCCACAGCTGCCTTCTAAGCGATTAAATTGAAATGTTGGCACAACAATATGTTGACTCTCATGTACACCACCACCGATGGGGGTATTGTTGCTGCTGCAGCATTCAGCAATGGAATTGCGTACCGATGGTGGCGCCGTGGCAACTGGTAGTCTACCAGCGCCACCCGCAGCGCCGCCAACAATCGCTGAGGCTGTCAGTATGCCGTTACTATCGGTGATGCTGTTGCCACTGCCATTGATTGTATTACCACTGCTGCTGCCAACCTGCTTTTCTCTATTACGACGCAATGATGAACGTAACGGATATTGACGTGGTACATTTACGCCAATTAATCGTCGTGTAGTTGGACGTCGTGCGGTTGTTGTGGCAGGATATTGTATCGATTCGGCGCTGTTACTCAAACGGATGTTGCCAACTGCATGCATGCATGTACATATGTATGTATTCGTTTTATGATTGTACCGGTTGGTTGGTCAGTTGGTTTGGCATGGGACGGTCGTTTTGTTATGCACAATTGTTGGTGGGCATTTTTTTTTTTTTTTTTTTTTTTTTTGTTTTGAATTAAGCATGTAGGTTTTTGTTGGAACGGTCATTGAGCACGGGGTGTTCGCAAAATAGATAGAAATGGTAAGATAGAAGGTATTAGGATATAATTTGAAAAAGCATGGATTTAATTTTCAAAAACAATTTTGTATGATTTTTTTTTTTTAAATTGTAATCTGCTTCTTTTTTTTTTTTGTTTGTTGTTTGTTTGCATGGAAATGTGAAAGGATGTTTGAAATTAGCCGATATGTTTGTAGGATTAGGATTTGAGTGTGCATTTTTGACGGTGGTGGTGTTGAGTCAGAAGTAAACAACAAATTATTGATGGTTTTTGGGTTTAGATCTACGTATTTATGCCACAATAAATCGGGTTTAAACAATTATTGACAAACAAAGACAACATTTGACACACAACAACAGCATAAATTGTGAAATTTACAAAAAAAAAAATTATAACTAATGAACAAATTAGAAATCATAAAACTATATAAAATGCAAATATAAATAAACCATAACTAAATGTTAAGCATACACACATGTTGGGGAACATTTAACTTTCTCGAAAGCTATTAATACCCGCTAATAAAATTAATCAAACGAAATTGCATAATACAAAAACACAAAATTATAAATAAAATTACGAGAAAGTCATCATTTTTATTTGCAAACAGCACACAAACAAAATTATAATTTAATAAAATTATACACTTTTAGATGAAGTCATACAAGTAATTTTAATAATTCTTTAATATAGCTAATTATATGTAATGTCGTTATTATTTATAAATCATAAGTGTAGTAACGAGCATAAATATAATATATAACATAAATTGAACAGAAAATATTAAATTACAAATTGTTATGCCTTTATATAAGACAATTGTTAATTTAAAAAAATATTTATATATTTATTTATATTAAATTATTAATTATAATTAATATTTACTAATTTATGCTTAAAAATATTAATTTTACATTTACGCCATTTATTAAAAAAAATTGTTTTTATTTATGATTTCTTTGATGTGTAAAAAAAAATTACAAATATATTAAAATAATTTAAAAATCATTTATGTATGTATTATTTAATGATAAAATGTGTTATAAAACTTTGTACTTTTAGGGGTGTGTGATATTGATTGATATTTTACTAATTATTCGTTGGAGGTTTATTTAAAATTTGTTTAAAATGTTTGTGTGACATGAACCTTAAATGGCAACTAATATAAATAAATTCAACAATTTGTTTTTGTGAGACTCTTTTTTTGTGAACAGAAAAGTAAAATAGTTCATTAATATTTGGTTAAAATGCCTTAGTGTACTTTTCTCCAATTAAATAAGGAGATATTTATTAAACGAAATGAAACTATAAAATTTTTAAGTAATAAAAAGTTTGTCAATAAGAGGTGTTCTTTTGAAGCTGTAAATTTGATTAAATTTAAATTGATATTTTAAATTTGACATTTGATAAGTAAAAATTACATCAGTAAAAAATGGAACGATGTACACTGCAACAATGCATTGTTGATATTATTAAAATTCACTATAAAAATTTAATCGAAAAAATCAGCTTGACTCATGAGGCCCATTTCCATTTCGACGACTACGTCAATAAGCAAAACTGTCGCAACTGGCGCTCGTTAAATCCATGAGGTATTGTTGAAAAGCGTTTCTATGCTCAACGTTTAATGATCTGGACAACGTTCACTATCAACAAGACGGCGCTACGTGTCACACAAGGAACGAAACCACCAATCTTTTTAGGAGAAGTTCCACTAAAAACGTATATTTTCAAGCAAATTTTATTTATTTAAACATTTTTTTATAAATCATTTTTTGGTGAATGACACGATAACTGTAAAACGAATTATTTGAAAGCAGAAATCCAAAAGGTTTCCTGCTGTTATCATATTGGCTGTGGTCGGAACTACAATGAAATATTTTCACTAAAAAAGGGAAAAAATTGCGGGCTTTTCAATTTTGTTTACACTTTTTAGCAATTTGAATTGTTTATAATTTTTTTAAATAACAATACCTATTTTTGGTTGTAGTAGATCCGAACGTAGAAAGACATTTTAGGAGTAAAATGCCGTTTAGTATATGTTGATAAATTCAATAGGGTGTAAATAAGAGTCAGCCAGTTAAAAAATGAGGTTTCGAGAAAAAGGCGATTGCGGTATTTGTTCGGCCATATTAACCGCTTGGCGCGCTCCACTTACTTCTTGGTTTTGCGGACCTTTGTGACTAATTCTATATTATTTCTAAGAGTATTTTCTAGCAATTTACAGGAAAAATTAAAATTGCGATGTTTTGAAATTTTTTCTAGAGGAAACTGGTTTTAAGGGAAAAGTGTGTTTGAGTATCAAAATAACACCTCTCATAATAATTTTAAACAATGAAACATTATATATATGTAAATGCCTAGTATAGTATTTCCTTTTAAATTTCAAAATTTTCAGAAAAATGTCACAACAAATTTAGTAATGTATTTTTGTAAATATTTCTTGGATTTAAGTTACTTAACTGCGCTTAAAATGAATTTATTATATAAGTTAAAAATAACAAATTGACAAACTAAACATTGACATTAACACATGTATGTATGTAGATGTATGTATATACATAAAAATGTATATACATATGTATCATTTTTATTAATTATAAACTTATAACGATGGTATGCCGTAAATATAACCACAACAAATGAATTATTATTTATGTATATTTAGCGTTATATGACAAATTGCATGTTAATTAAACACATTCATGTATGTACACGTATGTATGTATGTATAAGAAAACATAAGCGCTAACAAGCCAAAAATATATATAAAAAATTAATCAAATTCAAATAAGCTAACATTTAAGTTTAAAATAAAAAATCTAAAACATTGAAAATGATTGTAACGAAATTGTTATTGCCGCTTTCAGTACGCGTACTTCTGTCATTGCCACTGTCACTGCCGTTACCACCGTCCGACGTAGTCGTTAAGGCGTCGCTAACAACGGTCGAGTTCACCGAGTGATACTGTGTCGATGTGGAGGACAAACGTTGCCGTCGACGCAGCTGATGCTGTCGACGTTGTACACGTGGTGTACTCTGTCTGTAACGGGACGTGTGTACATAGTCAACTTCTTCAGCCGCAGCAAGTGGCAGGCCATGTATGCCACGACCACTAGCACCATTTATTGTGCTCGCTGTCGCAATTGTAGCTATGGAATTATCCAAGATACTAGTTGCTGGCAAGAATTCAGACGAATCAGCAGAATATATTTCACAAGACTCCGCACGATTGCCCAACGCGGTTGCAACGGTATCGAAATCGGTTGTATTACGTTCGCTGGGCAGCGAATATGTTAGATAATTCAGATCGACATCACTACTGTTGCTCTCGACATCATGACCGTCAGTCTTATAGAGTTCGTGTGTGGAACTACAACGTCTGGTTGCGAATATTTGCTTGCGTGGACTGTAGTACAGACGTGCTGCTGTTGGCATCGGTGGCTCAGTTACGATATCCACTTCTAGATCTACATCACAATAACGCACGGAATCGGTCGAATGATAGTGACTGGGCAAATTGGAACTACGTCGCGACTCCTGATATTGACGCTGATAGCTCGGCGGTGATTGTGAGTGTGTATGCAAATATGGTGGCGAATCAATGTTTCTGTTTTGTGAACGGTTGGAATATTGATGAAGATCTTGGTTGTGATGATTATGATGATGATGATGATTGCGTTGGTGTGGTTCATAACGTGTCGACAGTGGTTTTGTCGCTGAATGTGAATATTTAGTGTTAGAAAATTTGTTGATATGTTGGCGTACATTTGCTAACAATGTTTGGTTAGTATTATTGTTCTCAATATTGTTATTGTTATAAATTGCATTCTCTATATAATTACTATTGTTATTATTATTGTTATTAGAATTGTAGTTGTACTTGTGACTAATATCAACGGATAGTTTGGTAGGAGTAGTAGAAAATAAAGCTGTTTGTGAAGTAAAAGAATTAGTAGTAGAAGTAGTAGTAGTAGCTGTTGTTGTTGTAAGAGAATTTGTTGTTGTGTAAGCAGATGCTTTTTTTGTACCATTAGAATCATACATATAATTGTTATTACTAGCAGATTTATTTGAGGTAACATAGCTACCGATATTTGTTGCTGTTGTATTCGCATCCAAGTACATACGACGACCACAGCCATTGTTGGGTGTTGCCGATGTAGGCGCCATCAAATGTCGTTCCGTTGATTGTGCACCTCTATAAAGATTTGGCATATCAACTTGCAAATGCTTCAATTGCTGCTGTTGTTGCTCCCCTTGATGGTGCTGTTGTTCATGTTGGTGTTTACGTTGATGTGTTGTTGTTGTTAGACCACGATTGTCATAAACATTGCAACTATCATCTGTATCCATATGTTCTGCCTGTAATTCCAGTTGACGATTTATATTCGTCCTTTGTTGTTGTTGTTGTTGTTGCTGTTGTTTTTGTTTTTGTTGCTGCAAACGTTTTTTATAGTACAAATAGAGCGCATTACCACTGCGGCCGCCACCGCTGCCAACCATCAAACTATTCTCATCGTCATCATTGTCGTATTCCACATCATCACGATGTACACGCATATCGCGTGTGCTGCCACCTCCCAGATAACCATGTGTTTGAAAGTGCTGGTGCTGGTGTTGTTGTTGTTGCTGCATCTGCTGCTGCTTTTGAACGGCAGCGAGACAACAATTGCTGCATGTATTGGGCAAATTCAATGCCAATTCACTATCCCTAGGACCCAAAAACCATTCGGAACGTGTGCGCATGCGTGCTGTTTGGCGCTCATGGACCTTTTTATGAGTTGCGTTTTTTTTTTAATTATTTTTATTTCATTGCAGCACCAACCATTAGTGGTTCATATGAAATATTGTTTAGAGTGCGGTTGAACATTTAATTTTGTTCAATATGTATATAACGTGTTTTTGTTGTAAATAAACAGTTGTTCATTGAATATTTAAATTGTAGTTGCAATTTTTTTTTTTTTGGGTGTTGGTGATTATTTTTGGTGAACGGTAGACACCATATATAAAACAAAATATTGATTTACATATATATATATATATATATATGTATATACATAAAGTATATATTTAATAGTTCGTTTTTTGTTTGCATACAGATGGGAACACAACATATAATCAGTGATGTGAGACAAAGTTTTCCATTTCCAAGTCGCATTTTTTCCAATTAACAATATGATTCCAGTTGTTGTTGTTGTTGTACGGATATAAGGGAGGTTTTTTGTTGGGAGAAAAAAGGGGAATTGGCAGAAAAAATTACGAGCTTAGTTTATTTGTAGTTGTATCAAGTGCTTGTACTATTGTTTTATGTTTAAAATTTATGTTCGAAATGAAAAGCAACAAAAAAATATATATAAATATGTATATATTTATATATTTTTTCAAACATAATTGCATGGCGTCAATAAACCTTTTTATCGCAAAATAAAGCAGACTTATACACAGCTTAGTATTTATAAAGAAATTTTATAAATTTTAAATCTAAACATATGTATGTATGTATGTAAAAAAAAAATAAATTATATAGATCATTTAGTGAAACACAAACAAAAATACAAAACAAACAGTTGCACAATGCGCCCAGATCCTTTTATTTTCATTTTATTATTATTATTATTATTTTTTTTTTTTCAATAACAACATTACAGCTGAAACCAAATATATGTGCGTTATTGTATGTTAGCTGCTGGTGAGATGTTTGTGTTATTCAAACGCATTATAACTGACATAACAGCAGTGTTGGCCGAGCAAATCTCAGCTTCAAAAATATAAGTGCAAAAGCTATTATATTTGTAAGAAAAAAAGCATTCCAAATCAAAAGGAAACACGAGCTAAAGCCATGTGTGCGAACGAGAGTGATACCAAGCCTTCGTTATGTGGTGCTTTGATGAGATTTTGGAAACTTAAAAGATGCATACATAAACGCCCTTTATCATAAACAATTTTGAAGGACTTACACCTTTTACTCTAATATATATAATTGACAAGTACAATTTCTACAAATGCACGAGTGCGGCAAGAAGTTACATAAACTTTTCATTTTTGATAAGTGTAAAAATTTGTATTCAACTAGTTTTTCAAGCGTATTCGAAAAAAGTTTTATATTTCTCAAACGTGTCAGAGTATTTATGCGTATCCCTGAGTGTTCTATTTTTTTTTTCGCTACCTAGAAGTAGTCGCAAATACATACTTCGATGCTGATAATTATATTTATTTATTTTTAAATTTTGTTTAGGAAAAACTTCACTTGAATCCACGAATATCGAGACTATTTGATTATTAATTATAAAAAAAAAGTCCACCAAGCAATTTTACTAAGGGGCCAAAAAAATTAAAAAATTTAACACGTCTACAGAAGATTATCGTTTAATTTTTTTCAAACGTACAACTAATTTAATTAAATATTTTTACTTGTAAAAATCGCTAACTAACTACAAATTTGATAGCTAAAAATTGAAATCCTTAATCTTGTATTAAACTTTCATTTAAACTCTTTTGTGTCGGTTCGAATAAAAGCATTGAGCTGACCAAAATTTAAATACACAAGAACAACGTTACATATTTATATCATTTTAATTTAATTTTAGCCAACTTTCAAAAACCTTCTAGCAAAAAAAAAATTATGTGCTTTAAAAACAACTACAAAATTTCCATAATGAAGCGGGGCCCACATTACCAAACAAAAAGGAAACCAATAAAATCACGAAAAAACTACAACAAACATGCTAGACAATGAAATAAAATTAAATAAATCACAAATTTCGTCGAATACAGTGAAATTTAAGTGAGTTTTACAAAATATGATGAATATATTATCAATATAAGTTGAAAGAGAAACAACAAAAAAATATGTAAAGCATAAATAACAAAAAAATAAAAGAATATATATTATTGCATGGAAAATTTTGTTGTATATTTCTAGACTTACTCAAAAGAATTTACATACATATGGTATATAAGTAGATATTTATAAATCCAATTACAATGTTAACGTCAAAATACACAATATTTATTTTTAATATGTTATATGAAAAATTTAATAAAAGTATTTACAAAATTAATACTACATAATTGAAAAAATAAATTTAAAAAAAAATAAACAAATCAAAATAAATTAAATGTATTAAAATTTACATACAAACACGAGCATATGTTTATGTATGTATAGTAGTATATATAATTATTATTTGACATATCAAACGAGCACTTATAACTAGAAATGTAATAATATGCAATGCGTAACATTCCAAATTTTGTTTAAAATTACACGCAAAGTATTGTATTCTCTGTATGTAGGAATATATATATTTTGCATCATGGTTTTATTTTCACTTGTGGCAGTTTTTTACCATATAACCTAAAATTTTTTTTTAATGTTATACCATGTCAAATTTCTAGCACAAGAGCAACAAACATTTTTCTTTTGCATTTATTATTTATAATTATTTGTACTCTTAATTGTTGTACATTAAATTTGTTTTTTATTTACTTTTAAATAATTATTTTTTATTCTTTTTTTTCATTTCCCATTATACGCAGCTCAGCTATATTTTGTTTACAATACAAGGCAAATAAATATAGCTCAAATAGTCTATATAGATATAGAGGGATTTCAGGTCATACTTTCTTATAATTTTGCTGACATGGGCAGATATGGCCAAAGAGCAAGCGATAACTTTTGCAAAATTAAATAAAAGTTTGTGTGTGTGTGTGTGTGTGTGTAGGGTTTATTTATACCAAATTTTAATCCAATTAATTGTGTACACTTTAAAAAAATAAATTCACAATTTTTACAAATTTTCACAAAAGCAAAAATACAAAAATTATGTAGTTTATGTTTTTAGCTGGTTCTTTGCATACCATAGATTTTTTTTTTTACTTATAAGTTTTTCGGTAGATCGAATTATATAAACTAATGCACTATAATTAAGAAACCAATTGTGTTAAAAAATTAAGAGATTATCAAAGTTATATTATTTATGGTGAATAATTCCGGTTTATTAACCAATCATTTTATAGCAAATTTTTGAATTTTAATATGAATTTACTAATATGTATCGAGACAAAAAACTGAATCATTTAGTTAAACCTAAATGCGTAGATTGCGTTCATTGGCAATGGACGAGTTAATGCATGCTTCAATTTATAAATGTAATCATTTAGAGAAATATTATTGCGCAATATATCATAATCATTTGTATATGGATATAGATCATATCTCAATTTGCAAACTATTATACACAAAATAATGAATGAAAAATAAATAAATGGATAATAACTATTTGGAAAACTTGCGGTTGAAAGATCCAGCGCTATGTATACAAATGTTTAAGGAGAACATATATGAAATAATGAAAGCGGTCATTTCCGGTGTGAGTATTATTTCAGCTAGTAATTTGAACTGCACGTTTAAAAAAATATCAGATCTGTCTGAATGTATGAGCAATCCACATGCGTGGTAAGCGTATGTAGGAGATATAAAATACATAAGTGCACTGAATAAATAATAGTTTGTTTAAATTACAATATTATGAATCATTTTTAACTCAGCAATGAGAGTAGCTTAACTGCTACCGGCAGCTTTCATTGTTTTTTTTTTAATAATTTAGATTTTATGAAATTTTTTTGTGCTTGAGTATGTTAAGCTGAGTATACAGAGTGTTTTGGAGAAAAACGTTGATAAATAATATAATATTAAATTCGTATTTTAACAATACAAATGCATACAACAAAAATCAAATTAAAAGAATACATAATAAATAAAGGAATAAATTCACAAAAAAAAGAGGATTAAAATATTTATTCGTATTTATACCGAAATCCGTGAAGCAAGCAAGAATTCATCCCTCACCTGTGGCAAGTAGGAGAGACTCTTTGTACTTTCGGCATAGCGATTGACAGCGCGCAATTCTTCCATAGTCATGCCACTGCCATTTCCCACGCCGCCAGCTGCACCGCCCGATGCTGAGGAACAGGAGGACGAGTGACGTATACCTCGATTACAACGGCTACAGGTGCGTGTTGCACCACCACCGCCAACACCACCACCACCGCCGCTGCCGCTGCCACTGCCGACTGACATTTGTGCCGTCGCAGTGTTACTTTTTATTTTGTTACTTTTCAATTTATTTCGATTTTCAATCCCATCGCTAATCGTCTGTGTTATGCGATCAGCACCATCAAGGCTTTTGGAACCGGCACGCAAACGTCGTTGATGTTGCATTCTCGTTTGTGTTAGTATTTTCTTTTTATTTTGACGATAACGCCGTCTCACTACAGTCACTTCATCATCAGCATCATCACCATCATTTGAGTCCACACCATCGACATTGTCAACACCGATGGTGTATGTGGTGTTCAGCGCTGCATTGTGACCATTATTGCCAGTAGTTGTTGTTGTTGTGGTTATAACATGATCGGTGTTATGCGAAAGCGTATGTGGATAGCTATGTTTCGGATTTTGTTCGTAATCATCGTCATTATTTAATTCGAGTCCTGCGGCGAAATCTTCTTCCTCGTCATCGTTTTCAGCATCAGCATCTTCGTCGCCGAAATTTTCTTCATCGACGTCAGCATCATTGTCGGTGTCACGTTGTAAATCCTGTATGTTTCGTTTCGGTAACGGTGATGATGTCAAAGCAAATAGACTTGGTCCTTCTAAAGAGACAGATAGGCGTGCACATGATTCAATAAAAGAGTGCTCTGGTGTTACGCCTAATGAAAGCACACTGTTGTCTAAAGCTGAGCTTGAACTTGTTAGCAATGCAGGCGTTGAGCGGGATTCTTCCTGGGCGACTGTGTTTAGTTTTAGACGTTTTAGACGTTTATTGATTTTTTTAATCATTTCACAATTAGGCAGGCAATGTCAATGTACATAAAACACGACACACAGGCATAGTGTATGAGTGAAAGTGAAAGAAAAGAGAGATTTACAAATGTTTGGGTGGTTGGTTAAATTATTCTTAACAACATTTTATCACAATTTGAAAAGGCATTTATTGTCAACGTAACGAAAAGAAAATTAATAAATAAATACAAGTGGAAAGCAATCTGCTTCTTAATATTAAGAAAGAAAAAATGCGATGAGATATTGTATATATAGAAAATATAACCAATTCGATATTGGGAAAGTATAAGACAATTATGACGGTTAATGATGTTAATAAAGCAAGCTTAGTATTTAGTGAATACATGAAAATCAAGTTTAAGGAACAATAAATTTTAATAAGACAGGAAAATAGTATGTGTACGTAAGACGAATATTAGGACGAGTTCATGTTGACAATGTAATGAGAATACGTAGTAAGACAAATGAAATAGAATGAAGAAGTAAGACTTGTCACAGTTTCGTCTTTTATTTTTAATTTAAGTTTCAACTACATATATTTGTGAGATATTCGCTATTATTATTTGGTTTTATAAATTTGGTGCCAATTATACTGATGTTAGAAAGCAAACAAAATACACATCTCAAATTGGTTAAATTGTTATAGCGTTTATACATATTTTTAAGAGTATACTTACGCAAACCCCACCGCTCACACTGACACTGCAACCAGGTCTTCTCTGCCTCCAGGGAGTGTTGCACTAGAATGCAAGATAAATATATTAAAAACAAAGAGTACAAAAAAAAATAATCGGCAAATAATGTGTTATTTTTCTAGTACTCCAACCATTTCTGCATATTTTAAACATTTTTTACTTTTATTTACTGTTTTATAGAAGAAAAAAACACTCAGTGGAGTAAATGTTTAAATTTTCAAAATCTAACGCATACACAGTTTAAAAAAATATAATCAAACTAACTGAAGTTATCATAAATATAATATACAAATATAATATTAAGTGACGGTCGAGCACTAGAAGAAACTGTTTTTGCCATATACCAAATAAATATATTTAAAAAACTAATATTAATTTTTTATTTCATATTTTACTTACGTGCATATTTTTGTTGAGCCAATTTACCACGTGGTGGTGGTGGATATTGAAAACTACAAATCCATTCATCTTGCACCTTGAGTATGCGTCCAGTAACTCGTGCATAATATTCATAATTTTCACGTCCAAATAAATCATGTGTAGCAAATTTATCGATTATTTGCTTCATAATTTTTGTGGCCACCTAAAATAATAACAAAAATGTATTAGTAAAGAGAAGTAAATATTTCTTAAGTTAACAATGTAATAGATGCTCGAAGACCTTATTATTTTTACAAATCAAACTACATAATGAAGTTTTTCGCGTTTTTGAAAAATTTTTAAGAAAAAAAGTATATTAAGTTGGCAGTTCTTCTGCTCTCCAGAACTAAATCTGTGCTAATGAGAAAGGCCTTTTAGCTGATCTAATTCACGGAACTAAAGCTATTATATGTATATATATACATATTATGATATCGATGAGTAATTGAAGAATAATAGCCGCAAATTATCGAATCATAAAAATGGTGAATCATATTTCGTAAAATCGTAAACTTGTAATGTGTTTTTATTTAACAGAAACCATAAACTATTTTCTTTTTTTCATAAATTTCAAAGGAAAATTTTAAACGCCATTAATACAACAAGAACATTTCAAAATATATTATATATAAAAGTAAAAATATTATTAGCAGTGTAAACAGCAATGACGATTGTGATTAAAAATATCATTATCATCTTGTGCTTGAAAAGTAATTGAAGTCGTGGTCCACACCCAATATTGAGCACTGCTTTAATTGCGTCAAAACAAAATATGATATTTTTAAAAATATAAAAATAATTTAGACCAAACAATACGAAGTCTCGAGCAGATCGCACATAATCAACGCACCAGTAACCATCATGTACATATATATATATATTCGTTTATTACCAAATCTGTGTTACATACAGGTATGTATGTATAGTATATATATTGACATACCTTGAATTTAAGCACATCTTCCATGCGCGCTGTTTTCCCATCACTAACGCATGATTGAAAAAAACTTGGTGCTACTGAAACGCCAAGAGCCTCACTGGTCATGCCAGTACTTGCTTGTGTTGCATTGCTGGCGATAACACGGAATGTACCAAATAGTAAAACTAGTAAACGTTGAGTGTATTTCGGCAGTGATGTGAATAATCTAAAAAGTAAAAAAAAATATGCATAATTAACTAAGTAATGACTTATGATATCGAATTATATTATCGAATAAAGAAAAGTAGAAAATTTGAGAAGTTCAAAATTTGTTTGAGTGCAGAACTTATTAATAATTTTCCCAACAGTAAAATGTTTGATGAAACGTTCTTTTTTACAAAAAAAATTATTTTCTAATTCATATCACAAATCACAAATCCCAGAAATCTAGTGTCTGATAAAAAAAAATGAATTTTCAAATTCATATCACAAATCACAAATCCCATAAGTCTAGTGTTTGATAAAAAAAAAATGGCTGCATATTTGCGAAAAAAATGTTACAAGTTTTGCGAAATCCAAATTAAAAGATTTACATTAGTCTAATAAAGCCCTCAAGAGCTCCAAAACAAAGACACACATCTAAAACGAATCGTAACGGGTGTCGATAAGTGGATTATTTACGAAAATGTAGACCGAAAACGATCATACACCGAGCAAAATGTGACGCCCCATTCGACATACAAAGCCATTACTAAGTCACTGTGCAAAGGGCGTGCCAAAATGCCACTGTATGAATTGAACGGCATCCGTCGCAAACTACTGAAAGTGAAGGAAAAAGTCAAGAAAAACGCTAACTGAAAGGGTAACCCCACCTGCTTGATGACCCAGCTCAATCGGTTTCACGAGGATATCAACCCAATTAAGAGACCGGACATTCTAGTTGCATGGCTTTGAATAGTTACCCTTCAAAGATGGAATTTCTTATCCTAGTCATATTGTTGTTCTTCATTAGACTAAATTTTTTACACGAATATATAAATGCTAAATCCCACATTTTAGGTCGCCAATAGAGTTGCAGTCGAAAACGTTTTATACTTGCGTTGAGTTCTGCATATGATAAGGTTCTTGTTGTCCTTGTTGTTGATTTAACATTTCTCTATTACCGTTTAGGAGAGGATAAAGCTAATGTAAGATCATCTAACGATATCTTAACGCTTTATAGACGGTAGACATACATTGTATATTCTACTAAACGCTGCATTGGGTGAGCAATGACAACAGTGACAGAAAACATCCAATGAGTCGGGTTCAAGAGTTTTTGAAAAAAAAAAAAAAGTTGGATTAAATGGTCTGGATGTGAGCGAAAATAAACCGGCTTAATGCAATACCTACTGTTGTGAGCAGAGAGAGAGAGGGGAGGATCACAACCACGGTGAAAATATCAAGTAGAGAAGAGAAGTGAAGCCTCACTCGCACTCATACAGCTGTTTCCACCATTGCCAATACACAAAGCGCCATAAATCGTTAGCAATACTTTACTCTCGAAAATTCAAAGCGTCGAGAGGAGACTTTACTTTACAATTGCCTACTCAATCCAAAGTAGCATCTGTTGGCAAGTGTGATTCTGCTTTCGATTTCAAGGCTTACATTGTTGTTGGTGTTTAAGTTGGTTCCAATTGTAGAGAGACGAAATTGTCTTGTCTAAGACTTTCAACTCACCAATGACGTGGTAGCCAAGTTGGGAATGCGCTAATTATTTGGTTATTTAACATTTTTCGTCTTTTCCTCGACTAACAAAATCCTTCTCCTCGCTTTACCTCGATTGTTGAAGCTAGATTAAGTCTATATCATCGAGGCATGACAGCAGCTGTACACCCTTTTCTGTATAGCGCCGTAGTTTTTATTATTTTCTCCAGTATTAAGTTAAAAAAAGTCACCTACACTAAAATCTCATTCAGTTTCGAACGGCCGAGAGAGAAATTTCAAGATTCACAGCTCTAAATTACAGTTTATAGAACTGTATAGGTTACGCAGGATTTAGAAATAGATGCAGCTGGTGTAATAGTAGACTGCTCTAAAATCGACCAAAAGACGATGTGCAACCATCATTTACCCATCGGACTTTTCCAACATTTACCCCAACGTGAGTATTTGGTAAATTTTAGACTTGCGAGGTATGAAACCACACTGTTACGGTCCAATCAGTGCGCTGACAGTGAGCTTTGGTCTTTCAAAAATTACGTTCGATAAGACATTATATACGATATTGAAGATATATAGCGTTAGATGTGGTGTAATGAACAAGTTAAACAGAAGAGATCTAAATTTTGTTTTAGCAGTTTATGTAATACTTTGCATTGTTGTTGTACTATATGATTGTTTCTTATAGTCATCTTACTACTATTTAGGTTACATTATCACTTGGTAAACTACAAATAATGACTCATAAACAAATGGGCTAACTACCTTTTTGATTTGTAAGCATTTTAAATGTGCACACACAAATAAATAGGTACATATATATGCGTACACATCGATAAACATACATATGTATATGTGTATATGTCTGTATATTGAGTGATTCATAAATCATTTTGATTATAAAGTGCATAAAATGAAGACACTTATTTGTATCTGCTCTCATATGCATACAGTGGCTCAAAAATGAACTCGGACGCACAAATTATATGACTTCAAACAAAAAAAATATATATATAATAAAATGCAAATCGAGAGCTTTCTGTTTAACAAATATTTCTATTCTTCAAGTGTATTTTTCAAAACGACGAAAACCATAAACTAAATTCAACTCGGTCGTATAAAAATAATATGAACATAACAACTTAACAAAACTGATGACAAAAAAGAACGCGGACATATACATTACATAGAATTTAAAAATATTATTCAAAGAGAAACAAAATATTCTTAATATTTGGTCGGCAAGCCTTTACTTTTTTCTGATAGCATTCAGTCTTCTTAGCACAGATTCAACTACCTTCTTGCATGTTACAGAATTTATTTTCACCCACTCTTCCAAAATAGCGGCTTCTAGGTCTTTCTTATTTCTAATAACATGCATTTTCAGTTTATTTTCCAAATGAGCCCACAGATGTTCAATTACGTTAAAGACGGGAGATTGAGGAGGTGTATCAAGCACTTTAGGACAGTTATACATCAACCATAGACGGACATCAAGTGCTTTAAGCTTGGGATCGTTGTCTTGGTAGTACTGGAAATTGTCTTTAATTCCCAACTCTTCCCCGCTTTGCACTAAATTTTCTTTTAAAATGGTCAGATATTGCTTGTGGTCCACCATAATACCATTTATGAAACACAAATTTCCAGTACCAGCTGCGGATATACAACCCTATACCATTACTGAGCCGCCCCCGTGTATAACAGTCGGGCGTAAATTCTTTTCTAGCAACTCTTCATTCGGTTTTCTCCAAACATACGACTGTTCATCTGACCTAAATATATTAAATTTGCTTTCATCTGCAAATAAAACTTGTTTCCAGTTTTGAAAATCCTTATACCCATGAAATTTTGCAAATTTTATTCTTTTGTTTCGGTTAACCTCGTTTATAAATTGTTTCTTCCGTGCTACTCTTCCATTATAATTATTTTTTCTTAAGACTATTCGGATACTCTGCGGATTACAATTTATATTGATGCAAAACTTCTGTTGAGAGCTTGGGAGAGTTCATGTTTGGACTTTTTTTTGATTTGCTGCTCCTTCCACCGCTCATCTGCAGCCGAAAACAACTTCGATCGTCCAGACTTGTTTTTGTTTTCCACGGATTTTGTTTGTTTGAATCGTTTAATTACGTCATGCACAGTCGAGCGGGGTCTGCTCAGAATTTCTGCGATTTCCAGAATGGTTTTTCCTATTTCAAAATGACTAATAATTAACTTCCTTCCTTCAATTGAACTTTTTCCTTTGAAATTTTCACTTTTTTTCCAAAAAAAAAAAAAAAAAAAAAAAAAAAAAAACACAGAAATTTTATTTTAAGCTATTACGTTCTTTTTTGGCGAAATTTCTAGCATGCCACATGTTAATTTTTTGAAGTAAGGGTATAGGAGACCTATAAACTATTTAATTTGTTTGTTATCGGTATTTTTGAAATCCTTATAGGATACCCTATAGAAGCATAAAAAACCAAAATGCTTCATATCAATTGGTTAAAAAAAAAATCTAGCCTGAAGCTGCATGTTTGTTAATAACAGTGAAATGTATGTCCGAGTTCTTTATTGAGCCACTGTACATAAATTATGTATTGTATATATATATAATTTAACAAAAATATAATAATAATTTAACAAAAACTATAAGTCAAATGAAGAAGATACGGAGTAGTAAAAGCGCACAACACAACAACTTAACTTATTTTATGGCTTNGCTACCAATGCATCTAGAAAAAATCACAGTTTGGTGCAGTTTATGGGCAGGTGGCATCATTGGACAGTACTCCTATATAAATAAAATATGTTAAAGAACAACAACAATGTCGCCAATATACAAAAGTAAAAAATTTTTAAACACGAAAATAACGCAATAACTTACAAAAACGTAATAAAAAATGACAGAAAAAAAAAGTTGAAAGAAAAAAGTGAAAACCAGTCACACATTTATTCATATATGATTATGTGAATGTTAAAAAATCATTATAACCCTCTACAAATGTTTGTAAGACCTTAGAAAGCAAAACGGTAAATATAATACATACAATAAAAAGTAAATTTGTGTAACAAAATCGATTGAAAGAAATGAATGGAGGCCACAAAAATGTAGGTTCAAACGAAAAAAGATGAGTCTTACCAAAAAAAAAAAAAAAAAAAAAAAAAAAAAATAAAAAAAATAAAATTTTTTTTTTTAAAAAAAAAAAAAAAAAACACAGAAATTTTATTTTAAGCTATTACGTTCTTTTTTGGCGAAATTTCTAGCATGCCACATGTTAATTTTTTGAAGTAAGGGTATAGGAGACCTATAAACTATTTAATTTGTTTGTTATCGGTATTTTTGAAATCCTTATAGGATACCCTATAGAAGCATAAAAAACCAAAATGCTTCATATTAATTAATTAAAAAAAAAATCTATCTTGAAGTTGCATGTTTGTTAATGACAGTGAAATGTATGTCCGAATTCTTTATTGAGCCACTGTACATAAATTATGTATTGTATGTACATATATAATAATAATTTAACAAAAACTATAAGTCAA